GACGGCCTCCAACATTTCCACCCCATGTTGTATGTGCCCTGTATAAACTCATCATCTCTGTGTGGGTGAGACCTGTAAATATGAGAAGGCATGATTATTCCCGTGATTAGTATTATGTGGCAAAAAAGAACTTTCGGATGTAATTAAGGTTCCTAATTAGTTGACTTTGAGTTAGTCAAAAGGGAGATTATTCTGGGTGGATCTGACTTAATCAAGTGAGCCTTAAAAAACAGACAAAAGAAAAAACAGATGACTCTGCTGTCCTGGAAGAAAGCAAACATCAATGTTGTAAACTGCCATTACAGGGCGATAGGACTATGAGGGTGGCTTCTAGGTGCTGAGAGCTGGCCAAGAGCCAGCAAGAAAACAGGGACTTCAGTCCTACATCCACAAGGAACTGAATTTTGCCAGCAACCAATGAATATGGAAGAGGACCCTAGGGCTCATATGAGAGCACAGCCCTAGCCAATACTTAAGATTTTAGGCTCTCAAGACCCTTAGCAGAGAACCCAGCTAGCCTACCCAGACTCCTGCCCCATGGAAACTGAGACAATAAATCTGTGTTGCTTTAAGCTGCTAGGTATGTGGTAATTTGCTACACAGCAAAAAAACCCCACAAATATATATATATGTGAAAGGAGTTTATGTACACGGGTAGATTGGCTCCATGGGGAGTCTAACAACCACACCCCACAGCTAAATCCCAGAATTGTGCTGAACCTGAGCCAAGGTCCCGACTGTGGTATACCCACCATCACTGCTCAGCCCCAGCCTCATCACGATCCAAGCAGCAGCTGGGACAGGGTCGCTCTTGTTTCCTCCTATGAAATGGCACACTGAAGATCTGGGGAAAGTGAGCCACAGCATAAACCACATGGGATAGGGAGAGTGCCTTTCTGAGCTCATAGCTGGTATGAGACAGTTGATATTTATTATAAGGCTGAGATAGTAGAGATGACAGTCAGGATTCCCACTCTCTGGTGCCAGACCTGTCGTTATTTGGCCAAATATAACTTTAGTCCCTAAGACACTGAACATGCAAAGCTGAAAGGACACTGACGTATCATTTTTCAGAAGGGCCTCTTAGAATAAGGAAGGAAGGGGAAGCAAGGTGGAAAGAGAGAATAAAAAAGAATTTAATTCAGTAAACAAATATTTATGGTGCCCACTATGTGCATAGTTCTGTTCTAGCTCCAGAAATACAGCAGTGACTAAAACAAACAAAACCCCATGCCCTCCAGTGAAGAAATATAGAGAAATTAATAAAATAAAAATTTAAAAATACATAGTATGTAATGACTGTAAAGCAAGAGAGGCGTCGGAGGGGATATTGGTGTTCCACTTAAAAGCGTCAGATAAGACTCCCTCAGAAGGTCACATTTGGATATGAACCAAAGGTGCTAAGGAGTGAACCGTGTGGATATCTGAGGAATCATGTTCCAGGCAGAGGAAATGCAAGTGTAAGTCTTGAGGCAGGAGAAGGTCTGGTCTTTCTGAGGGATAGCAAGATGGCCAGCATGGCTGGAGGGTAGTGAAGAAGGAGAAAAGAGAAAATTATGTTCAGAGAGTTTAAGGGCTTGTGGGTTACTTTCACTTTTACTCACATAAGGTGGGAGCCACTGAGAGTTCTAAATAGACGAATGACATGATCAGTCTTAGGTTTCCAAAAAAGTGATCAGGCAGCTGTGGTAAGAACAGGCCACAGCAGGGAAAAGGGCAGAAACAGGAGATGGGTTAGGAAGCCACTGTAATGGTCCAGGTGAGAGATGAGGTTTGCTTGGACCAAGGTGATGGAAGTGGAGAGAAGTGCTCTAATTCTGAATGCATTTTGGAGATAGAGCCAATAGCATTTGCTCTGATTGGATTTAAGGTGTGGGAGAAAAAGCAGCCCAGGATAAGGCCAAGGTTTTTTAGCCTGAGCAACTGGAATTTACAGTTGTCATTTGCTGCTGCAGGGAAGCCTGGAGGAGCTGGTTTGGAGAGGAATCTTGGAGTACACTAGTGGGGTATTCAGCCTGAAAAGCCTATTAGACATGCGATGGTGCGAAGTAGACACTTGGATGTTATATTGTGGTGTTTAGGAAAGAATTAGGGCTGAAGACATAAAGTTGATATCCAAAACATGAGACTGGATGAGATCAAAAAGAGAGTGCATATAGATAGAGAAGTCCAAGTGTAAATCCTGGGGCACTCCAAGATCAAAATGTCAGGGAGAGGAGGAAGAACAAGCAAAAGAGACTGAGAAAGAACAGCCAGTGAGGAAGGAGAAAAACCAAGAGTGTGACATCCTAGAATCCAAGGAATGGAAGTGTTTCAATTATTCGAAAGTTATCAACAGAGTCAAATGCTGCTGATAGGTTGAGCTGAGGCTGAGAGATGATGTTGTATTTAACAGCATGTAATTGAGGACCCAGACACAAGTCATTTCAGTGGAGTGATGGGGATGAAAGCCTGTTTCAAGTAGATTCAAAAGAGATTTGGAAGAGAGAAATTAGAGATGACAGGCATGGGCAACTCTTTTTAAAGAACTTTGCAATAAAGGGAAGCAGAGAAATGGGTCAACGGTGAAGAGGAAAATGTTTGTATGCTGATGGGAATTATCTAGTAGAAAAAAAGGAAATGATGAGAAAGGATATAGTCAATTTTCACTTGTACAAGAAAATAGCAGAAAACAATGTAACCTACTTGATAAAAGATTTTATTGTAGTATTTAAGACAGGTTTTTTTTTACTGAAATATAATAAACACCCATGCAACCACCATGCACCCCAAGAGCTAGACCACTACCTGTAACGTCTATGTGCTCCTCCCTTTCCTACTCTTAACCTCTGTTTTAGAAGAAACTTTCTTGAATTGTGTCATTATCATTTCAGGATACAATCAACATAATTTTATTCTCTTGATTGTATCTGTTATATTCATTGGCTGATAGATCCAGGATGATCTAACCTATGCCTCTCAACCTGGTCTCTTACTCAAACCACCTCAGTCAGACAGTGTCATGAAATTCCTCCCTTGTGTTTAACCTGCTACACTAACATTCTATTTTATTTCATCTTCTATCTCCTGCTGCTAGTGCTTTGTCTGAAAACCCATTCTGCCCAAAGATCATTATTATTCATTCCTGTCGATATTATTTACTCTGCATGAAAGCAGCAATAGACTGGCACACCTTCGTCCCATGTGCATACACAGAACAGACCCCAGTGGCCAGAGCATTCTTGTTATCCTGGAAGATACACCTGCAGCCCTCAGGCCTCCAGCCTCTCCCTCCTATCCTAAGGCACACCCTGTTGGTCAGGTGCCTACACCAGCACCTGGCAGCCCCTCCACAGAGGTCTCAGAAAGGCAGTTGAGAGTCAGTGACTAGAATTTCTTCAACCCCAGATCTTGCCTGTGGACAGTGGCCATCCCCGTATCATCCAGGATTCTCCAGGTGTGCAAGGACTGCAGGATTTTGACAAATGCCAGCAGAGTGGCCTCTTTACAAATGAATAGCAGCAGGCTGTGAAAAGCTTTCTGCATGCATAAACCAAAAATCTACTTCCCCCACTTGTTCACTGATGCTTAAAATTGCTTTAAGGAGAGACAAAGGCTTTCATCTCACAACCAGAAAAAGCTTTGAAGGCCCTGGGTGAACTAATTGATTTAGACTAATACATACTGTTGTATAAAAGGACTGAAGGATTAGATGATGCAATGGGCACCTTTAAAATGGGTGTGAAGTGACAAGAGTTGTAGCAAAGAAAGATGGGGCTTTTCTTGTCTCCTTGGGTGCTTAAAAAGAACAGTCCTGAGGCCGGGTGCAGTGACTCACACCTGTAATCGCAATACTTTGGTAGACCAACACAGGTGGATCACTTGAGCCCAGGGGTTCAAGACCAGACTGGGCAACATGGCAAAATCCCATTTATAAAAATATAATATAGAAATTAGCCTGGCATGGTGGCATGCACCTGTAGTCTCAACTACTTGGGAGGCTGAGGTGGGAGGACTGCTTAGACCTGGGAGGTTGAGGCTGCAGTGAGCCATGATCATCCCATTGCACTTGAGCCTGAGTGACAGAGCGAGACCCTGTCTCAGAAACACACACACACCCCAGTCTTGAAATCAGAAGCCCTGGAGCCAGGCTGGGTCCTGGGCCCTACTGCTAGCTGTTTGATCACAGGCAAAATTACTCGAAGCCTTGAGCCTGCTTTTTGTTTCTAAAAGGAAGGCAATGCCTACCTTCAGAGTTACTGTGAGACTTTCTCATCATGTTGGTAAAAGTGCCCAGCACAGTGACCACATTCTACCCAGTAAATATTTTCTGTCTTTCCCTGTTGTTCCCAGGAGGTATCTCAGGCTCTGTTCCTTCCCACTCCATCCCCCTTACTTACCATCAAGAGTGAGGAATCTGGGATCACGCAACCCAGGTTCAAATCCTGACTCTATCACTTGCTGACTGTCATCTTGGACAAGTTTAACCTCTCTGCGCTCAGTTCCCTCATCTGTAAAAATGGGGATAACAATAGTACTTGCCTCGTGGGAGACAGTAAGGACGAAATGAGTTCATGTGTGTAATGCAATCAGAACAATTCCTGGCACCAAAAAACGCGTTTTAAGAAGTCTTTGTTACTATGATTCTCGAGGACTTCTCACCTGTCCACTTTCCACAAGCCAAAAGATCAAGTTAAGCTCCACTTCCCCTCTCTCATCTACAGAAGCTCACAGTCTATGGCTACACATTCCGCCCCACCCCGAACGCCCCCAGCCCGGGTTTCCTAACGCCCCCACCCCTATCCTTCACCCTCCAGGCCATCTGGTCCTTCCACCACCAGCAAAGCCCAGAGCAGCTTTCCGCTTCCCCAGCAGCGCCCTAGCGCGACCCTGAGAATGCGCCTCTGCTGAGGGGGCGGGGCGGCTCCGTGACGACCCTGGGAACGCGCCTCTGCTGAGGGGGCGGGGCGGCTCCGTGACGACCCTGGGAACGCGCCTCTGCTGAGGGGGCGGGGCGGCTCTGTGACGTCACACCCGGCGCGCCCCCGGAGACCTGGCAGCGGAGCCCGTGCGGGGGTTGCCAGGAGAAGGCGGAGCGCTAACGGTCCTAACGCTAACGGCCGTCGTACCCCGCCGCTGCTGTTCCCTGCCCCCCGCCGCTGTTGCCCTCCCCGCCTAGCTTCTACTGGTCTTCTGCCAAGGGTGGTAGGCACTGGATCTCTCCCCACATCTCTCCCTTGAGGCCAAGCGCAGGTGTCCCCTCAAGCCAGACAGCCGGTTTGGGAGCGAGCCTGAGGTAGCCACCCCGGAGGGGAAGTGGAGGGAGGGCAGGGCCCTGAGCGGGTTTGAGAGAGGAGTCTTACCCGACGCCCCTGGATTCTAAGCCTCTCCCTGTTTCAGAGCAGGGGGAGGGAAGGCAAGGAGATCTTTAAGAGAATGTGACTGGGGGGGATTATGGCTTTCTGGTCCAATTGTGTGCGTATTTTGTACCCAGAATGCTATTATATGGTTTCTTAACCGGAGGACTCTGGTTGGGAGACTCGAGTCTGGAAACAGAGCCCTTCACGGAGGAGCCACACCTCTGCCTATTCATCAGAAACATGGATATAGAAATAGCTTTGGGGGAATTGTCATGAGGACCAGTGGGCATACCTAGCACTTCATACCTAGGCGTACCGAGACTACTATCACTGATACCTTTGATAGCTAGCACTTCATACCTAGGCGTACCGAGACTACTATCACTGATACCTTTTATAGCTAGCACTTCATAGACTGCTGTCACACGTTCATTTTTACTAGTATCTATTGAACACTGAGTTCCAGGCACTGGGCTAGGCATTGGGAGGGTGTCACAAGCAAAAACTGACCCTTCCTGCCGTGGAGTTTACTGGGGGAGGCACATGTTACTGAAAGAATCACACCAACAATAGGTAAGTGATGCTCTGTAGGGTATGTGCAGTGGAACTGAGGGTGGTCAGGGAAGGCTGTGCAGACCTCCAGAGGAAGAATTAACCTGTTAAGAGGGGGAGAATGCATTCCAAACAAGAGCAGCCGCATCCCAAACCCAAACAGGGATGTGCAGCTGCCTGGTGCTTGGTTCCAAGTGCCGCTCATAGAAACTGCCTCTAAAATTCCGGCCTGGAGCCTTTCATTCATGTAACTGGAGACTTTCATTTATGAAACAGAAGCCCTGTTTAGCCCATACCAATAAAACCGAGTGAGAGATTCCAGAAACAAGACTATAGTCTATTTTCAGCACTTGGCAGGTATATGTTGGCCTGTCATTTCACATTGGGAGGCATGTAGGTTCCACTTAAGAGGAAATTTATTGAACTGGAAAAGTTGGGGGTATGGATGAGCCCTGTGTAACTGAAGAAGGCCTACCATCCAATAGATTTAAAAATGGAAAAGAACTTTACGAAATGTTAGAATTGAGGAATGTTTAGAATGGATCTTTCTCCCACTTCTTTGAGGTGAACAAGTGGCCAATATTGCCTAAAGGCAGAAAAGCTGGGCTTTGGTGCCTCTTTAACTTAGAGAATCTATGATTCCAATTCTTCATGACTCAAAACTGCATGGAACTCCTGAAAGTAAATGGGAACATGGGAGGATAATTTGACCTGGCCCCACTTCAATGTTTTCCATTTCTACAAGGGTGGCACTACCGTGCACCCAGTCATCCAAGCTTGAAAACTGATAGTCACTCTAGACACTTCTGTCCTTCACCGCCTCCTCCTTCTCCTCTACTTTCTTTTTCTTCTCCTCCTCTACCTTCTCTTCCTCCTCCTCCCTACATAGTTACTAAATCCTATAGATCCTATCTCTTAAATACCTGTCTCTTCTATCTCTCTCTATGACAACTACTTTTCAAGGCAGTGAAGCTCCTGAGAGTTGTCAAAAGTGCTGCCACATTCTCCTAATCTGGCTCCCTGCCTGAAGGTTCACCACCCTCTCTTCAGCCCAGCCACACAGCTGTCAGTCAACCTATGTTTCAGAGTTCAACAAAGAGAAATAAATCATACAGTAATTTTTGAGCATATAGTAATTTTAACAACCTCAATATAAAGAATTGTTTGATCCTGAAAGATTAGCTTCTCCTGGTTAAAAAAAAAAAGAATTGTTAATGACGGGAGTGGAGTAATGAAGGATTGGTTAATATGTCAGAAGAGATCTAAAATATACGGGAATCACAGATATAAGGAGCAATCCCTCCCGCTAAGAAGATCACCCAAGGAGGAAACCTTTCCCAGAGCTTGGTGCAGAGGATATGGCCACAGCTGACTGGGGAGCAGAGAAATTGCTGAGGTGCCAGGCAGGCAAAATTTACTCTCTGAAACACCAGAGAAACCACTCACACAAAGGTGACTCACTGGCAGCACTCAGCTACAGAGCTACCCAAGAGGTGCCGGGTACACTGCTAGCCACGGAGCACTGTTGGCCGCTGTGTACCGCAGCAGTTGGGTACTCAGAAGATCACACACTGCATGAACCAGATGCTGGAAAAGCTGTGTGCCACAGAACCTTAGCGCGAGAGAAACTACAAGTTCTGGATCCTAGCAAGAAGAACACCCCTAAATTCCCAAGAGAAACCTCTTCCTCCTCCAGTCCTTCCAGTGCCCTGTACTAACAAAGCTTATCATTGAGGTGGCTGGCAAGGGAAAAATGTTAAAGGACCTAGTTCAATTGTTGCAGAGGAGGCAATACAATGTGAATTTGGAGCTGAGAGGCAAAACTTGATAACTGGCCCCTCAAGCTAACACTGATTGTGGGACTCTTGTACTTAAAATTTCTAGTGGCTCCCCATTGCCTTCAAGAAAAAGTTCCAAAGCCCAAGCCTGGAGCTGTATTTAGCTGTATTTCCAACCTTAGGCCCAACCACTCCTGCTTTGCCCACTTTAGAACTCCGTAATTACAGTTCCCTGAACTCGTCACATTTCTGACAGCTACACATCTTTGCCTAAGTCCTTCTAGCTACGTGGAATTAGCTTCTTACTCTCATAAGCAAGCATATGCTTATTGAATACCTACCTTGTACCTGGCACTCTTCTGGGTGCTTGAATACAGCAATGAACAAACCAGGTTTTTCCAGGTCTCAGTTTGGATATCACCACTCTCTGAAAAGTATTTTCTGACCTCCTCCTACCTCCAGATGTTAGATACCTCATCCAAGAGTTTTTCTTGCCTCCAGATGTTAGATACCTCATCCAAGAGTTTTTCTTGTGTTCTTCTATATCTAGCGTAGGCTTCTTGACACTTATTATGCCTTATTTGAATTACTGATTTTCCTGTCACTCTCTTCCACTAGACTGTGAGCTCCATGAAGCAGAGTGTGTGACTTATTTATTTAGATATCCCAGTATTCAGCACAATTCCAATAAAACACATAGGTTTTGTTGGATTAATGATTTCCTAAGGATCACATGATTAGTCAAAAAGAGACCCAAAGACAAAATCCTGGACTCCAGCCTCACAGTCAAGAGTGCTTCTTCACTATAGCTTCATCTGCCCTCTGGGTGTTATGCCATAACTAACTGTGAAGGATAGCAGCTCTGTGTTTTGTTTTGGAAAAGGCCAGTGCAGTGTTGAATATCATCAGGAATGGTAGTGGAAACTCAAGAGAAACATAGCCCTAATCTTATATTGGAAACTATGGTGGATTCACCCCTCAGAGCCCTTGTTTGTATGTTTTGAATCTCTGAATCATGGGAATGCTACAATGAAATCAGCCTGACCAACATGATGAAAACTCATCTCTAGTAAAAATACAAAAACTAGCCAGGTGTGGCAGCATGCATCTGTAGTCCCAGATACTCAGAAAGCTGAGGCAGAATTGCTTGAATCCAGGAGGTGGAGGCTGCAGTGAGCCAAGATCATACCATTGCATTCCAGCCTGGGTGACAGAGGGAAACTCCATTAAAAAAAAAAAAAAGTGGGAAGGACAAGTAAAATATGAAAATGGTGTAGGGTATTATGACACTTACTCTTAATAAAGACTCTCAAACACTTATATAAGACAGAGCTAAGGTTACCCCCAAGTGTGTACACCACATCTCCAAATCAGGGAATCATGTGCAACTTTATGGGACATAGTTAACATGCCAGTCTGTAAATAAGCCATGTGTCCCTAGAATTGTGGACGATGAGGTGAACATGGGGGAAATCTTTGAAATATGAGCATGGCTAAGTTAAGTCAAAAGTGGTGCCTGCCTATTCATTTGTTAAATAATCAACATGTAGAACTCATGCTTTCAAGAGGTAACACTAGCATGATACATAAGCAAGGTTATATGACCAAGGGTTAACTTTGTTATTGTTGTCATGGAAGGTGTTTTAATTAGGATTGGGGCATCTTTTCATTTACATGAGATTATCTGAGACTCCAGGAGAGAAATTAAACAATTGCACAACAACTAAAAGATCCTGCCAAAATACATGGACACAGAAAATGGTGCAGCCACTGTGGAAAACAGTATGGTAGTTCCTCAAAAACTCAAAATACAAGTACCATATGATCCATCCATTCCACTTCTGGGTGTATATATACCCAACACGATTTAAAGCAAGGACTTGAACACATTTGTACACCTATGTTCATAGCAGCATTATTCACAATAGCTAAAAGGTGGAAACGATCCAAATGTCCATTGACCTGTAAATGGATAAAATGTGGTACATCTAACAAAATATTATTTAGCTTAAGAACGAAGAAATTCTCAGCTCAGGACCAGGGGTGCAATGGATAACGCATCTGATGATGGATCAGAAGAAAAAGGAAATTCTGACACATGCTATCACATGAATGAACCTTGAAGACATTGTGCTAAGTGAAATAAACCACACACAAAAGGACAAATACTGTATGCCATATGATTCTATATGGTAGAGTAGTCAAATTCATGGAGCTAGAAGAATGGTGGTTGCCAGGAACTGTGGGGAAGGAGAATAGGAAGTTAGTACTTAACGGGTACAGAGTTTCAGCTGGTGAAGATGAAGGTCTGGAGATGGATGGTGGTCATGGTTGCACAACAATGTGAATGTACTTAATGCCACTGAACTATACACTCAAAATGGTTAAAATGGCAAATGTTACGTATTTCTAACACAGTCAAAGAATATATATTTACATATGTGCAGACAATATGAGCAAATAAAGCACTGCTCTTTGACAGATAAAATGGGTTGAAAAGTCATCAGAAACAAAAGAGTAACTTTTTAAATTATGAAATATTTCATACCTACAAAATTAGATAAACGATGTAAGTATATGTACAAAAATAATAAACATCTAGACAGCAACCATCCAGCTTAAAATACAGAACATTACGACTAGTCCCGAGACCCTTGTATCTCCCTGATGACATCCCTCTCCCTCCTCCTCCAGGGGTAACCACCATTCTGAACTTGTATTTATCACTCCTTACTCTTTTTCATAATATTATACATCTGTCTCCATAAACAATATATTGCTTTTCCACCTACATGGTGAGACTCCTCCACAGGGATGTCTGTGGCATTACTCATTGAGAACTGTTGCTATTGTCTTAACAATTACAGCTTTCATCATGCTGTAGTGACCCTCTTTATTCCTAATTGTGCATTTTGCCTTAAAGTATCTTTTGCTTGGTATTAGTATGTCACCTTAACTTTTTTGGTTATTATTTACTTATTTATACCCTTTTTACCTCGAATCTTTCTGTGTCTTTGTTTTTTCAGGCGTACCTAGACCTGTATTTAAACTGGCACATTTAAACCCGTATATTTTTATTGTGATTACTGATATGTATGCATTATTTTCTACCATGTTATTTGTCCACTTTTCCTGTTTTCTCTGCTCCTTTATTGCCTTCTTTTTGATTAAGGTTTTTTGTTTGTGTTTTTAAAAAATTCATTTTTTCCTCTATAGATTTAGTGGTTATATCACTGTTATAACTTTTCTAATGCTTTGCAAAGTCTAAAATTAATCATTATGGTATCCTCCTTTTCCTCCAAATAAAAGAAAATGGCTCAGACAGATGAGCAAAGGTGCATCCCGCTGGAGCTGCCAGAAATGCTGAAGAAGTTTGCCAGAGCCGTCATCCTGGCGCAGCCGGAGGACCTCCTCCAGTTTGGGGTCGAGTAAGTGCTCCTTTCTCTCCTTCACCCCTTAGAGGACCGGCCAGGAGAAAAGGTCCTGGACAACCGTGGAGGTTGTCATGGCTGCAGCCTGGGATTGGGACTAACTGGTATCATCTTTGTGGGTTTTAGGTCTTGCATTGCTTTGATGCTTTAAAATCCACTACATCTAACTGGGTGAGGATGGGATGCCTCCTCTAAGCAAGCCAGATTGAGCAGTAGGACGCCAGGTCAATATGCCGTGTCCTGGGGCAAGCAGCAAGAGTTATATGACTGGTTTCACTCCAGCATATGCACACCCACCTCCTCCCTGCTCTCCTTTTCCCAGTCCCGGTGGAAAGAAGCGCTGGAATCTCCAAAGCTTAATCTGCCCTTTCTTCATTCTCCTCTCACCACTGGATGGCAGCAGTGAAGCCTGGGAAGGGAAGGCAGTGCTAGGTGGATTGGGTGGGACTAGTCCAGCTAGTTCACCCTTTTAAGGAGACGTTTCTTCTCCTGCTGTTATACTTGGACCCAGCCAAAGACACTTTGAATCTTGTCTTTGAGGAAATTATGGTTATTTAGTGTTTCTGTCAAGTGATTTGTTCTGCCAACATCAAGATGTTCGCACAGTACACGTTGCATTCTGGAGAAAGGCCAAGCAGAGTTTTGAGGTCCTCAGGCATGGCTGGAAACAGTGTGCCTCAAACCTGGGTGCCTCCTTTCAGGAGAGACCTCCAAAGGTTGCTTAGTAGATGGAGCTTACACAACAGTTGCTACAGGCCTGGCTTGAAGCAGCTTTGCACAGAAAGCCTCTCAGCTGTGAAACTGCTTCTTAGACAAACTTGCTTGCTTGAAACTGGGGAATGAGGACTTGAGATAGTAGTCGGAAGATCACTAGACCTCACGGACCATTTTCAGGCTGTTTTTACTGTTTGATGAATCCCTGCTTAGTAGGGTTTCAGTGGGAAAGGGAGAGTAAGGGAGGCTGTCGAGAGAAAGCCAGTGAGTTGGGGAAGCGAAGATGCCCTCAGCCTGAGGTTGTGAGTGGGTGCACTGCGCAGATGGTAGGGAGAAAGTGTGGACACCTTTGAGAAGACACAAAATGTCACCTTAGAGGGGCCTTTCAGAGTCTCTGAGCCAGCGCTGTTGTGTTCCTGGGTTGGATTAGGATGCAGCTTTGCAATTAGAAGGAAAACAAGCCAGTGGTGCTCATAAAAAGAAACATAACTGGGGGTTGCTTTGCCTAGTAATGAGCCCTGTTTAGTTTTCCTTTCTAAATTTTATATATTGCCTCTAAGATTGAACTTTAGCATCAGAAGACTAATTTATTTTGGCATAGTCAGATAGACAGACTTTATCTTATCCATTAGTTTCAAATCCATTTCCTTGTTCTTGTGCTGCTGTTTTATAGTAAACAATTGCTTAGTATTGTCCCTGACATTGATGTAAGAAGGAATTCCACTATTGTAGCCTGCTTGCCCGCATATTGTATCATGTGCTATACATTTTTTAGACATCTATGAAAACTTCATTTGTAGTTTAAACCACAATGAAAAAGGAGAGCATGACCTAAGAGCCCCTCCATTCTATACAGACATGAAAAGCACCTCTCAGATGGTTTTAGGTGACTTACTTAAAACCTGTAGCATTTCAGAGAATAAAACTCTACAAAGTATTTCCAAGACAAAATATGCATTTAATTCATTGCAAGTAAGAATTTCCCTACATATGTGTTGTCAACGAAGAAACCTGTGATCAGCCATCGGCAGAACATGTACTTATTTGTCCTCTGGTGGGCATGTGTTATAACACAAAACATTTGTGGTTCACGGATCGTCAATAACCAGGCTTTTGATGGAGACAGACCCTGCCATACAGTACTGGTGACCCATGTCAACGGCTCACGTCTGTTCCCTGCTGCAGGCAGCCTCTTTTCATCTTATCTCAATGCTGAACAGAATTCAGTACTTGTTCCACATTGCCCCAAAACAAAGTCCACTCCACAAAATATTGAGGAGCAGGCATATTTGACTGAAAATTTTGAGAGAAGATAAACAGTTTTCTTTCACAGGCCCCACATAACTTAAGATCATCTCAAACCTTCTTTGGCTTGTCTTCTCTCCTGAGCCTCGCACAGTGCCCTGCCAACCCTTCTCCCTTCCCTCTTGAAGCCCTGAGTCTCACCATCTCCAGCCAGAAACCCTTCCTTATTCACCCCTAGGACACTTCCATCTCTTCCTCTTCCCTCCTTTTTTGTTTCTTCAGAGATGGAGGCCTCACTGTGTCACCCAGGCTGGAGTGTAGTGACACAATTACAGTTTGCAGCAGCCTCAAACTCCTGGGCTCAAGTGGTCCTCCAACCTCAGCCTCCAGAGTCACTGGATTACAGGCTCTCGCCACCATTCCTGTGCTGTCTTCCCCTTTCTTATGTACATTACTTTAGTTATCTTCCAACTTCTCTTCCCAAGATTACGTATACATATGTAATATACTATCTATTTGTGTGTAGCAAAACACTCAGAAATGACTGGAAAAAAAAACTTGACCCCAATATGCTCCAGGAATTGCATACCCAAACCTTTGTTCTTCCTCATCCTTAGAGAAGAACAAAGCTTTGTATTCTCAAAGAATTCTCTATGCCCTAAGTGGAAATTAACATATTTAGGCTTTTCCCAGATATAAATGAACTAAACACACTGACACATAGAAGCCACTAACGAGGGTTCCCTTCTCTACCTCCTTCCCTCAGAAAAAGGGGGAAGGATTGCTAGAACAGCCAGAGGCCACTGGCATACAGGATGCTCCTCCTACTCTCCGACTTTTTTTCTTGTAGTTATTTTGGGGCCCTGTGCCGTGGAGAGAGTCCTCCGGTGAGAGACCAGTCTGAGCAAGTCGGTAACTGGACACAATTAACACCGGAGCTTTTAAAGATCCTGCATTGTCAGGTAAGGGCCCTGCTGCAGCATTGAGGGGAATGTAGGGACAGTGTTGAGGCTGGGTGGGTACAGATGAAAGCCCACTGTTGTTCTGCCAGTCAGCTGACCACTTAGAACCACCATAAAATACACTAAACCATGGACTGAAAGTAAATCTTCCCTTAGAGAAATGGGAATAATTTTGAAATAGGCTGTCGGCTGAGTCCGTGGTGGGGTCATCCCAGATTTCCTTGAAGCCTGGGCAGAATGTACAGGGGTTCAATGCAATGCTAATCCCACCTCTCCAGAAAAGTTATAGGTCCTCAGTCACTCGACAGTGTCTCCCTTCCTGATCAAGACCAAGATATGATGCCAGCCACAGTTAGGGAAGGGCATATTTTAGCTCCCCAGCTATCCCAGGTCCAGACATAGTTTTTAGCTTTTAGGGAGAGGCTGTGAGACTCTTCACAGCCACATCATCCTAGGAGCTGCCTGTTGAATGGATGCATGAGGAGGGTCTGGCTTGAGAAAGTTTGTGGTTTGGCCAATTCCCAGAAATATGGTTGAGCATCACCATACCCTGCTTTATGATCCAGGACAGAGAGGTTTGGAGTGATTTAGGACTAGCTTGGACTAACTGCCTTAGTCCCAGAGGCTTAGCATTTCACTAGAATCAGAGGGTCAGGAAAGTTGTTGGAGCACGTCACTGGGGCATCTGTGCCCTTATTGCATTGGTGGCCAACAGCCACTCATCCTCCTGCTCTTTATCCACCAAGTACCTTGTGCAGTGAACATGACAGAACTGTAAAGTACCTGGGATCAAGCAACAAAAGGCATCCAGACCAGATCCCCGTGGGTCAGCCACATACCCCATATCGCTTCCTGGAAAGCATGAGGGATGCACTTGAAGGTCTAGAGCTAAGAACTCAGCGCAATCGGGAAGAAAGAGACCTATGCCTTGTTCTGGTTTTACCATTAGTTAGTGGTCTCAGATAAGCACTCTACCTCTTGGTTTTGTTTTCAGGCTGTTCTATCCTGTCATATAAGGAATAAAACAATTTAGGAATACAGTAAGAGATAAAAGCATCACAGGAAATCAAAATATAATATAAATGTATATCTTTTGCATAATTCTAATGCCTAAAGTTTAAAAATCAATAAATTATATTATCAGCACTAGGATTTGCAAAGATAACTGCCACACAGAGCCATCTTGTACCTTCCTAACACCCCTTTCCCGCCCCTTGCCATGTGCTGGGAGATGTGGACCTGGCCTGGCGGCAGGGTGTTCCCCAGGGTCTTGCCTCAACTTCTCCCACATCCACTGTGTTGTATCTGTCCCCTGCCCTGCAGGTTGCCGGCAGACTGATCGTCCGTGCAGATGAGCTGGCCCAGATGTGGAAGGCGCTGAATCTCCCAACACATCTGTTTAAGAGTGTGATGAACATGGGTCGCTTCACGGAGGAGATCGAGTGGCTGAAGTTTTTAGCCCTCACTTCCAATGCTCTGGGAGTTGTAAGTTAGCTTGACTGATTTTTGTTCCTGAAGGGGAAAACTCCCTCTGGGCCTGGAAGGGCAGTGCATCTGTACACACGGTCTACTCTCCAGAGCTGATTATAAACACGCCTTTTCTCATCTTGTCCTTCTCTCTAAATCAAGGTCATTTTAGTGCTCGTCAGGCAGAAGCAGCGTTTAAGAGGAGGAGAGAGAGGGGGAAACAGGCTCTGGGGAAAACTGACTACAGTGTAACTTTTGGATTATTTATCAATATTGCCCTCAAATGTCTTTTTTTCTTTTTCTTTGTTTTATCTTCTGTTTTGTTTTTTTTATTTTTTTATACTTTTTGCCCTCAGATGTATTTTAACTCCACTCCCTCCATTCATATTCCCAAAGACAACCAAGAGCCAGCTTTAGAAAAAGACTTCCAGACACCTAGAATATATATTAATAGACACTTTTTAAAAGGGGTACAATCTTATAGAAAGCTACTGTGTAATAAACAGAATTGTATGCAAAACTCAGACATAAGGAAGCAAAAACAGGAGAGATGAGACGATTTCTGAATTTAGTCCTGACATCTCCATGGATGCAGGATGTTCATACAGATTCACGCCTTTTTCAAATTTGACTTGTTTGATATTGGAAAAGCCATTTTACTGTTTTGAAGCAAAATATGCTGAAATTAGTTTATATGTATAGATATTTAAAGCTTGGGTATCTTAGATGTAGACTTACATTGTTAGACATTGTTAAAATAACAAAATGAATCAAAAACATGTTTTTGTAAAAGAACCCCTGAGATACATACAAGTTTAAAAATTATTGAGAAAATAATTATCTCTGCCAAAACCAAATGGTATATAAAGGTAGTTCGAATCATTCAGCATTTCTAAACATCATCTTGTTCTTCTCAAATATGCTTGGATTGCATATTTGACAGTTTGTTCCTGAGAAAATTTAGCAGAAATCTTGTAGCCCAACTTTTCCTATAGATTCCCCTCCAGCCTTCATCATAATCATTTCTTTAGAGAGGAATAGCAAGAGGACATTGTGGCTCTTTTTTTCTTCATTGTCCTTTATAGCATTTATATACTGATAAATCACTATCCTCCAAGGAGGAAAGGAAAGTAAGCAGCAGAGGCCTGTGAGTTTTCAATCAGGACTGGGGAAAATCACAAACAGGAAGATAAAAAAGTGGACATATTTTATTAAATTCTCATAGGGTTACAGATTTTTTTCACACAACATTTGGAGACGTTTTAGGGGAAATGTACCTTTAAAATTTTATCTGTAGTTAATTCTGATCTTCTTGATCTACCTCACCTACAAAGGGTCAAATAAAAAAATAAATAAATTCAGTCCAGTCCTGAAACTTTAGTCTAATGCAGTAACTGAAACAGCCTAAAGGTAAATTTCCCGGTGTCTCAGGTTTTTCTTCACCATGCTCTCTTCTCCAAGATGGCAGCTGAATGTAGACAGAGAGAGGTGACTCTAGGACCACAGAGCAGTTAAGTGAAGGGTTTCTCACATCCTCAGTCTTCTCTGGCATCTCTGGTCTCCATGGCAATGCCCATCTGTTTGGTCGCTAGCTACTTGTAGCTTAAGTGTTTGGTCTCATCTCTCCCAGATTGGTGAAAATCTGACGATGCCTCCCCCACCAGCTCATTTCAGTTCTCAGTGGTGTCCAGGGCCTCCTTGAGTCTCTGCCAGACTCACCTATCTGCTCCCTGGCTCTGGTGGTTTACTTTACAGCCCTCACTAGTTAGTGATGTGTCTGAATCCTTCCCTTATCCCCATACCTCACAGTAACAAAGAGTGACTTTGGAAAGTCAATTCTAACCCTCCCTCTGCTTAGCCCACTGTGTAGATTCTAAGTTTCCTCTGATGTACCTGTCTCCCAGACTGGAAAGTGGGAAACCATGAGGTGAATTGTATCTTTTTACTTTTCTTCTAAAACAGGAAGGTGGGATTAAATGTTACATGAGGTTCTTCTACCTCTGACATTCTGTGATTCTATCCTCAATTCTCTGCTTCCTCTGAGATACCCTAAGGCCTACCTCTGAATAACAGTTAGCTCTTTCAATTCCAAGAGGCCTTGAGATATCTGACTTTGCTCCTCATCATCCCCATGTCAAAGAACCCCTAGAAGTGGCAGGGCACAGTGGCTCATGCCTGTAATCCCAGCACTTTGGGAGGTCGAGGGGGGTTGATCACCTGAGGTAGGGAATTCGAGACCAGCCTGACCAACATCGAGAAACTCCAATCTCTACTAAAAATACAAAAAATTGGCCAGGTGTGGTAGTGCATGCCTGTAATTCCAGGTACTCGGGAGGTTAAGGCAGAGAATCACTTGAACCCGGGAGGTAGAGGTTGCAGTGAGCAGACATCATGCCATTGTACTCCCACCTGGACAACAAGAACGAAACTCCATCCAAAAAAAAGAACCCCTAGAAATAAAGTCAGCCTGGAAGTTAAGTCTGTAAATAAAGGGTGCCCTACGAAACTAGTAATCATTATATTAATTTGCATTGCATTGGACTGTTTCTGGGATCTTAAATGTGGGGCTGGTCAGTGGTATGGTCTGAATATTTGTGTCCTCCCAAAATTCATATGTTGGAATCTCAACTTCCAAGATGATGGCCTTAAAAGTAGGGCCTGTGGGAGTTGATTAGGTCATGAGGGTGGAGCCGAATGAATGGGAATAATGCCTTTATAAAAGTTCCCCCCTCCACCAAGTGAGGACACATAGAAAGCATCATTTATGAAGAGCAGGCCCTCACCAGACAGCAAATCTGCTGGCACCTTGGTCTTGGAGTTTCCAGACTTCAAAACTGTGAGCAATAAATTTCTGTTGTTTATACATTACCCAGTCTAAGGTATTTTGTTATAGCTGAGACCAAGTCAGGGGTCACCATCTGGTGGAGATCTTGCCTCCTAGTCAATTCATATATCCTTAGAGGCAAGCTAAGAATTTATCTTTCCTTTGCCAATTCAACAGCAAGACAGGATCTCTGTGCCATCTAGAAAAGCCAGGTTTGTTCCTTATAGAAGAGTCTAGTGGCAGGAATTTTTTACTCTGATCGGTAATAGGCACATTTACTCTTCTTTAGCTCTCTGGGTCTAATAGACATTATTCAGAATGTGATGGCATGCAGACCTGTATTCCTCTTCCCTTCAGCACTCCTTCCTCTGGACTGGTCTATGCCACCTCCTATTCCACTGAACTGATTTAAAAGGAAGAGATCACATATGTAGCAAATAATCATGTTCACTGGAAGGAATGACATATTTTGTTAGCAAATGATTCACATTTCAAGGCTTTCACCTCCAACTGAAAATGAAGCTCGCAAGATGCTTAAAGACTACCTCTGTGAAGTGGATCCCAAAAATATATTGTGCAGGAGAATGAAGATCTGTTTACTTTAGATTTATGTCAGTTTACCAAATAGCTCCAGTCCAAAGAGTTATTTATCCACTCATTCATTTATTAAATCTTAAAAATATCTAAAAATCTTATGAGAGCAATAGAATTTGAAGGTTTGTTGTTTGAATAATCAATAAAAGATGATGATGTTTAGTGTTGAGAAAGCACCTATGTTAGTTTGTTAGGGCTGCCATGACTTGGTGGCTTAAACAACAGAAATTTGCTGTCTCACTGTGCTGGAGCACAGAAGTTCTGAGAACAAGCTGTCAGCAGGATCGCTTTCTTTGGAGGCGTTTCTCCTTGGCTTAAAACTGGCCAGCTTCTCGAATGGTTTCCCTCTGTGCCTACATGTCTGGTGGCTCTCTCTTCATGTCCTAACTCCTCTTCATATAAAGACACTCTACTGACTTCATTTTAACCTATCTTTTTAAAGGTCATATGTTCAAATACAATCACATTCTCAGATTCTGGGGTTAAGGTTCACATATGAATTTTAGGGTGAACACTTCAGCCCATACCAAGACCCCATGGGACAGGGCAACAGAACAAAGCACTAGGTGTGCAGATTTTTTTAAAAACAGAAACAGAGAGGGTGAGCTGGGTGGAAATAATGAAGTTCAGAGTGTGCTTCCAAATCTGCTCCAAACCATTGTCCGGCTGACCTCATCTCACATGCATGACTTACCATCCTCCCAGACAGCCTCATATATACTAGTTAGCCCCAAGCCTGCCCTCTCACCCGCTCTGAATTAAGTGGAAGTGCCTAGAAGATGCAGTGTAACACAACACTTTCCATGAGAGCACCCCCAGGGCCAGGGGAGAGGAAAGGAAGGTGGCCTGCTGCAAACTCCCAATTTTTTTGACATCATGTGGTTTACTGAATAATCTATTTATAAAATAACCATGCTTATTAAATGCAAATCAACAAAATTTAAATATTAACTCATTTAAAATTAATAATTATTACACACCACAGTTAGAGAAGCACCGTCTAGGCAATCATTCTATTCTGGGAGTGGGTGAGAGAACAGCAAACATCAACTGCTAAGGCAGGACAAGTGTCCTCTAGCAATCATGTGGGAAGATACAGCAGCTGCTTTTTCATTCACCCAGTCACACCTGAGTCACCACTCAGGCCTGCTCTTTCACTGATTCCTGGAAGAGTATGTGTCAAGATGATCTGTACATCTTCAATTTCAGTAAACCACCAAGATCTATATGCTGACCTTCATTTCACAACTCTTTCACCTGTAAAATTTATTCCAAGGGTGGGTTTATTTAAAGACATGAGATTAGTTCTGAGCATGACCTTTTAATGTTCAAGTTTCATTGTAAGGAGGGTTTGCTTCTGTAGTAACCCTTCTATTAAAATTCCTGGCACTCATTGTCTACTAGTATTTCCCCAGCAATAAAAGGGTTAGTATTATGTAATATAAAATAAAGCACTAGGTGATTCTATTTAGATAGACCCATGTGTTTTAGAAGAACATTTATCTTGATGTTGAAGACCATTTTTCCAGTATCTTCCTGGGACTCTCTCTTCCTGGGGAAATTACCCTTCTCTTTCTTACCTTCTTCTCCTCTACTGTGGCGTTGCCACAAGTATCTTGCTGGAGTATATAGGCTAGGCTATTTATCTCAGCCCTTTAGAGATAAGATTGGAGGGTAATAATAAGAAATAATTCTAATTATATAGAATGCAAATCAACTTCCCTCCTTTAGTGAGTTTATTTGGACTAAAGTAACAAATATCTTAAAGTGCTTAGGAATTTATAAATTTAATTCCTTGAGTAGTCTTCCAACAAAGAAAGGAGAGAAAAAAGTAAAGACACCCAATACTTAATATTTTTTAGAATGAATTAGTGACATTTGAATGTAAAAATTTCAAGCTTTCTAGAATCTTAAATTGTTCCACCTCATTTTATAAGAGCAATATTTTTGTTTTCTTTCTTGTATCTAAACAGATCTCAGGACTATTGCCTGGAAGAGTAACTTTCTCCTCATTTTATCTAACTTTTATAGACTATCACCGACACTCTCACGTTACTGTGTGAGGTCTTATGTGAACATGATGGTGGGCCACCCCGGATACCTTTCAGCACGTTCCGGTTTCTCTACACGTATATTGCCAAAGTGCGTGGTGAGATCTCTGCATCACACGTCAGCAGAATGCTAAGCTACATTGAGCAGGAAGCGTAAGTTAACTTTTACAAAGGAGAGGTGAAAGAATACCAGGATAACAAATCTAACAGCCCAAGATAGAGTGAGATTATTATATTATTCTGCTCTGGGAACAGAAAAGTATTGTGAGGAACATGAAATATGGATCTGAAACAAAAGGGGAAAGGGAAGGAGAAGAGGAAGGAAAAGAATTATATAGGACAATAATTCTTTGAGTGCTACTGAGACTAACAGTAGTGACAGCAGCAGCACCTGAGAACATGTTAGAAATGCAGAATTGTAGGCTACACGCTGGACCTATGGAATAATAAACTCTAGGGGTGGGGCCTAGAAACCTGTGTCTTTATAAGCCTCCCTAGTAACTCTGACTCATGCTTTGCTATGACCAGTGGAACAGAAATGGAGGAGGAGGAGGAAGAGGATGATGATGAGGAGGAGGAGCAGCAGCAGGGAGTCAAGGGTTAAGAGAAAAAGAGGCCAGGCACGGTGGCTCACACCTGTAATCCTAAGATGGGTGGATGGCTTGAGCTCAGGAGTTCAAGACCAGCCTGAGCAATATGGTGAAACCTGGTTTTTAATAAAAATACAAAGATTAGCTGGGTGTGGTGGTGTGTGCCTGTAGCATTTAATTGGGAGGATGGCTTGAGCCCAGGAGGTGGAAACTGCAGTGAGCCAAGATTGCACCACTTACTCCAGCCTGGATGACAGAGCCAGAGCCTGACTCAGAAAAAACAAAGTTAAGAGAAAAAAGATCAACAGCAGAATTTGAAATGAGAGAATTGTTTGTATATTGTCTTTCTTAAGATTCATTGTCAATGAACTAACTGCAGATAAACCTTTTTCCAAACAGAATTGGTCCTGATGGTATCATCAGAGTGAATGACTTTACCCAAAACCCTAGGGTTCAGCTGGAGTAAAAGCACAATTTTGGCAGTTTTAAAGGAAGATGCAGAGATGATTGTACTTCAGAATGACTGAAACTCATAAACCCTCCAAAATCAATTTTCTTGTACAACTGGTACACACGAATAAACAATTAAACAAACATATGAAATCAGAAATGTGTGGAATTAACATATGAAATGGTTGGAACAAAACCTCTTCATTCCCAGGAGATTAGTATTCCTCCCACGTGGATACTGAGTAAAAGGGGCTGACAAAGCATGGATAGAAGATGCGTCTCCAATCAAAGCCAGACAGTCCGATTTTAAACGGTAGACTGTTAACCAGACACAGTGCGTTATTCTGTGATTGTTAGGCATCATTTAGATGAGTGTCTTTTATGCGGCCAATTGAAGTTTTTACCAGTTTATTTCTCCATTTGTTGGTACTGTGCTAGTCATTCATTCATCCTCTCACTCATCAACATTTATTGAGTTAGCTATGTGCCAGGAATAGGCTTGTGAGAAAAAATACAGGACACCCAGTTAAACTTGAATTTCAGACAAACAACAAATATGTTTTGTTTTGGTTTTTTCTAAACCTGGCAATATTCCAGGAACTATGCAGGCTTCTGAGCACATACAAATAAATAATATCTGAATTCTGCCTTCAGGGAGCTCACAGTCTAATGCTAACATAAGACATGAACATAGGGAGGGCCAGTGGGAGGGGGAGGTGGGGAGGGATAGCCTGGGGAGAAACGCCAAATGTGGGTGAAGGGGTGAAAGCAAACAGAACACACTGCCATGTATGTACCTATGCAACTGTATTGCATGCTCTGCACATGTACCCCAAAACCTAAAATGCAATAAAAAAATAAGGAAAAAAAAAAAAAAGACATGTAACATAAATCACTTTCATGCAAATGGCTTTGAGAAGAACTAACAGTATTCCAGAAAGTGTCAGTGTCAATGGACTTTTCTGAAACCATATACAGATGTCATGGAACCCACCGGAGAAGATCCCCTACATGAGCCTAAGACCTTCTGACAATGTCTGATTTTCCTTTCTCAAAGGAAACAGATGAGATTAACAGCTGTGATTATGGTTCTTAATGTCAGGTGTGCCAAAGTGGCTGGGTCAGTTCCTTCTATTTATAACACTGTCCCCTCTTAAAAGTTGCTTTTGCTCAAAAATCATGTTATGTTATATGCATATATCTCTCTACATAAATTGAGGGGAAATTTGTCTATTAGTGTCTAAAGGTGAGAGGAGATTGTGATTAGATGTTACCACGGTCCTCGATTTCTGACTAGAGTGAAACAACAAAAGGGAGTGAAACAAACTCTTCCCCCACAGCACTGGGCTGCACCTGCAGGGGATGGGCAACAACTAATCCTACTGGCCGTCTAACTTCCTAGCCAAAGCGGCCCATCATTTCTATCTACTCTGGAACCTGAGGCTGTTTGAGAAGGCTGAAGCACTACAGGTGAAACCTGGCACTATAATAAATCAGGATTAGAGAATGAGTGAAATCCTTTAACCTGCCTCAGATTCTTGGTGTCTGTCAGTTTCTCCTTCACTGTGGCCAAAGAACTGACATATGGTCTTGTCTGCAAATAGGGAATGACGGGGTATGAAGAGACAGTCCAATTTGAAATACCATAAAATAACAAATTAGGATCATAAATGTAACAAAAGCAAAAGAGTCCTTTGTGCACTTGGGAAAACAGGTTGAAATCAGAAACTAAGTCCTGGTAGTCTTGGAACACAACCACTCAAGAGTGAAGCTAATAAAATTCCAACAAAGTGTATACTGGACACAGACACGAAGTTACTGGTGCTGTAGCTATCTGTGCTTACCAAGACTAAGCACAATTGGCAATACCATTGTTGCAATGCCAATTGCTCTTCTTTTAAGCCACCACTTTGGTGTGCACCATATTCCTCCTCTACCACGGCAATGCTTGCTCCAAGCTATTGATATTGCTATGCCACAGCTGCTCACCAGGGACACAGTATTTACAGCACATCTGTGAAATCAAGCTGCAGTCACCCCAAGGATGGAAAACAGCTTTGTGCTTTGCCCTCTGAGTTATGCTGTATTAACAATATTACAAACACTGTATTAATGATAATAGCCAACATTTATTAAGCACTTACCATGTGTAAGGCACTGGGTACAGTGCTTTATATACATTCTCAAATCATTCCTTACAATATGACCTTATGAAGTCATTGTCTCCCTTATGAAGTCAGTGTCATCTCTAAGAAACAATCTTAGATAAGTTGTTCAGTGTCACTGGTGAGAAAGAATTTGAATCCAGATCTGTCTGACTCCAAACCTATGATGGCTTATATATATCTTTAGGGCTTATCTAGGTATGGAGTCCTACCCTCCAACCCCCCACCTGAAATAATCCCTGGGACAGAGATTTACATGCAAATAGTTTATTTAGGAGTCAATCTCAGGAACAGTGGAACAGGGATAGGAAGAGTAAGATATTATAGTGATGGGAAGAAAGCCAATAAATGGTGTGTCGTCCAGCCAGTTACCCCAATACTGCTGAGGAACTCTGGGAGACAGTATAGAACACATCTCAAGAGTTATCCCAATCAAAGGGATGAGGAAGCTCTTCATCCACCACTGGATAATCCCCACCTGTCATTGACTGAGGGTGCCTTACAAGGGCATTAATGTTCTGCCTTTCCAGCTTGCCTCAGCTTGCTCCTTTTGCTCCAAAAAAAAAAGTTCTCAGGCAGGAAGTCATAGATGTTCACAATAAGAAGCCACCCACATCTGCTACACTGCCTTACAGATATTTTAATAAAACAAAATTTTAACATTTTAATCACTGTTAATGTTTCTCTCTGGGTCAGGCACAAGTCTTCAGGGTCTGCAGGGCAATAAGTGACTGTCATTGTGCTGTATTATAATTCACACCTGACCCACAAACATGGCACATTGTCCCCAAACATTTCTTCCTTGTGATAAGATCATTCCAAAGAGGATCTCTTGATCCTTGCTGCCAAAGATCCTTGTCAGATCCATCCCACTAGCTTTCCTATCATAATCAGCAGTATCTATAGAGTCCTAGAGTGACCCCAGTTAAACTGTCAAATGAAGGCCCTTGTAACATATAGTTTGTATTTCACCTTTAAAAATTTTTTCAGGAAGGAATAAAATCAGGATTTTATAAAGAAAAAACAGTGGGCTCTTTCTTTCCTAAATTAAGCTGTTTTGATTAAAGTGAAGACTGCAGATACATAAGCTTCAGTGGGAAATGCAAAGATTATGTCTCAATTCCATTTTGTCTATGCTCCATGCCCTTCCTCTCCTTGATGCTCTTTCACCAGGGACCTACCATCCCTAGTTAACTGACAACTTTCAGGATCATCAGGGCCCTGCAACAGAAGGAGCTGGACACCCCAATGTGGAAGGCTGGTTTCAAATTAGGTTAGAATAGGAATCTTAACCTGAAATCCTTGGAGAGGCTCCTGAACACCTCTGATAACACATATATATATAAACTCATTAGCATTTTTCTGAAGAAAAAATTATAAAGCTTTGAGCAATTACTCAAAGTTATATATTATCTTAAAAGGCCAAGAATCTATAGGTTCAAAATAGCCCCAAAGAGCACTAAGTGGCTTGGGGAAAGGCAACAGCACAGGCCCTCAGATCTTTCCATGCAGAACTGAGCTCATGCTCCCAACATGTGGTTTCTTATCCACAGCCTCTTACTTTTTGAATCTTAGATCCTGGCCATAAATCTGTGTTTTTAGTTTAGATCTTCATATACTTTCAACTTTGGTCATTTCCTATAAATTGGAACCTGGTCAAACCTGAATGGAGACTTTCACACTTCAGAGGTGAGCCAACTGGCAAAGTCATCGGTCCAATGTGCTGAATTATGAAAGACTAGACAGATAAGCAGAGTTGTGTATCCATGATACTAGAGGGACTAAACCTCCAGACCAGGCTCAAAGGGCTAGTCCTGGATAATCCTGAGCTTCAGACATTCAAGTAGCTGTCAGCCCCAATGCACCAAAGCAGTCTAAACAATGGTTGATTCATTGATTTATTCAACAAATAATTAAGAAATTCCTACCATGTGCAAGGGACTGGGCTAGGCACTGGAGACACTGCTCTGAACAAGGTGAGGTCCCTGTTTTCATAGAGATTAAATTCTACTTAGCAAGACAGACATTACATAACTAATCACAAGTTTGTAACTGTGAGAAACAATGCTACTACATAGTAGTATGGGGCACGCAGCTAGTTTGCAGGGGCAGGATAGAGAGGTTTTCCTGAGGAAGTAATATGAGAGCAACCTCTGAAGCCACAGACAACTCAGAAAGATGGACTGCAGCCCACATGTCTTTGCCAAGTTCCAGACTCAACTATCCAGCAGCTAACTTTTCTTGGATGACTTCAAAGTACTACCTAATTTAACATATCCAAAATTGACTTTCCTGGTTTGCATTTTTTTCATAATGAAATGTTGGAGAGAAATGAGTTCACAAGCTTCCTTCCTAAATGTGGATCTCTCCCATCACCCGCCAAGATACAAAACCCAGAAACCAGGGTCAAGAAATACCTCCCCTTTGTCTTATTTTCCAACTCTATCAGCAAGTCCTCTCCATTTTCTATGCATCTCTCAAATACGTCTTCTTCATATTCCCTCACCACCACCTCCCTTAGATCCCCTGATCTCCTCCCAGCTACCAATATATTTCATCTGGACTTCTTATCAGTCTGGTCCTCACAGGTAAACAGAAGACAATATAGATTTTGAAGATGATTAAAAGGTTTACAGAATAAACAAGGAAAACAAGGGGGTTGAGGCACCCAAGGACTAGCAAACCATTATCACCCCTAAGACTAAAGGGACAAAGGGAAGGAGTTTTATTAGAGTGTGAGAAAACTGGAACTCCAGGGGCTCTCCTAAGGGCAGAGGGTCAATGGATCAGCCAAATGTGCTGAGATAGAAGTATCCCATTCTCTCCCTCTTCTATTGACTAAACAGAACCTGAAGCTGGAGGGCATGTCTGAGTGATGTCAGTCCCTGGGGCACAGAGAAGGGTAGAAAATGGATGCAGGAGGAGAGAACTTGCTCACACCCATGCTTGCCTTTCCCCCAAGCACCCTCTATGCAAGGGATCAGCAAACGTTTTCTGTAAAGGCCCAGATAGTACATATGTTAGCCTTGGCAGGCTAGACAGTCTCTATCTCAAATACTCAACTTTAGCAGTTGTAGCATAGATGATGTGTAAACACATTAGTGTGACTGTGTTCCTATAAAACTTTATAACATTTAGATGATTTTCATGTAATTTTTCACATCGGAAAATATTATTCTTTTGACTTAAAAAAAAACTACTTGAAAAAATGTAAACACTGTTCTCAGGCTGTATCAAAGAATGGCAGACTGAATTTAGCCAGGAACTGTAGATTTTGGATTCCTGCTGTACACTGCAGCCATGGATCTTTGTAAAACACCAGTCAGTTCACTGTACCCCCTGCTTGAACTTTTACATATTCCCAATGGGCTTAGGATAACGCAAATCATGTAGCCCATAAGGACTGCATAGTCTGGCCCCTACATACATTTCCATCCCCACTGTCTATATATACTTCAGCAGCAAGAGTCTCTTTGGGTTTCTCTTTCTCAACATCATGCTGTCTCCACATCTTTAGAATACTCTGCTTTCCACTCTCTATCTAGTTAATTTGTAGATCTCAGCTCAGTGCAACATAATTTATAATAGCAAATACAAAATGAAAAAGAGGGTGGGAACATAGTATTCCCAACACTAGGGAAATGAATCATTGGAACACCAGGCAGCCATAATATAATTGTAGATTAATGAGAAACAATGTTGATTAGATATTAAAATACTCATGTTACAGTAATACTATTATTTCATATCGTTGTAATACATGTATACATATATACATAGGTGGAAAAAATCTTGAAGGGAATGCACCAAGCTGTTCAGAGTGATAACTCAGGGGTAATGACGTCTTTTCCTTTTTGCTTATTAATATTTTCTAAAATACACATGTATTAAGAAAAATTAATACGAATTTAAAAAAATCAACTTAACCGAAAGAAAAGCCCTTAATTTTGGGTGACTATGTTAGAAAGTTATGAAGTTATGAGAGGGCTGGGGAAGGAAAGGAGAGGTTTTCACAGTTTGATCTAATTCAAAACTAAATCTGTGAAATACTCAAGTTTCCTAAAATCAGTCAGAATAAGTGTGTGATATTTTGGTGTACATATTTTAGTTTCGACATTAATTGTAACAGACTTTTATTTATTTATTTTTGAGACGGGAGTTTCAGTCTTGTTACCCAGGCTGGAGTGCAATGGCGCAATCTCGGCTCACCGCAACCTCCGCCTCCTGGGTTCAGGCAATTCTCCTGCCTCAGCCTCCTGAGTAGCTGAGATTACAGGCACGCGCCACCGTGCCCAGCTAATTTTTTTGTATTTTTTAGTAGAGACAGGGTTTCACCATGTTTAACAGGATGGTCTCGATCTCTTGACCTCGTGATCCACCCGCCTCGGTCTCCCAAAGTGCTGGGATTACAGGCGTGAGCCACCGCGCCCGGCCCTGTAACAGACTTTTAAAAAGTAGCTCTTTTCTCCACTAAAACGAAATGAGGCCGGGCGTGGTGGCTCACTTTTGTAATCCCCGAATATTGGGAGGCCAAGGTGGGCGGATTACCTGAGGTCAGGAGTTGGAAACCAGCCTGGCCAACATGGTGAAACCCTGCTAAAAATGCAAAAATTAGCTGCGCGTGGTGGCACACACCTCTAATCCCAGCTACTCAGGAGGCTGAGGCAGGAGAATCGCTGGAACCTGGGAGGCGGAGGTTGCAGTGGGCCGAGGTCGCGCCATTGCACTCCAGCCTGGACAACAGTTTAAATGGAATCAACGGAGTTATCTCTCTTCAACTTGATTTAAATCATTAATCCAAAACCTAATGCCTTAAAAACCAATGGCTAAAATCCCCATTAAGGCCAGGCGCGGTGGCTCAAACCTGTAATCCCAGCACTTTGGGAGGCCGAGGCGGGTGGATCACGAGGTCAAGAGATCGAGACCATCCTGGTCAACATGGTGAAATCCCGTCTCTACTAAAGATACAAAAAATTAGCTGGGCATGGTGGCGCGTGCCTGTAATCCCAGCTACTCGGGAGGCTGAGGCAGGAGAGTTGCCTGAACCCAGGAGGCGGAGGTTGCGGTGAGCCGAGATCGCGCCATTGCACTCCAGCCTGGGTAACAAGAGCGAGACTCCGTCTCAAAAAAAAAAAAAAAAAAAAAATCCTCATTAAAATGAGTGCAGCATGCAATGCTAGGAATGCTGTCATTCTTCATCAAAAGTAACTGCCTCATCACAAGAGGAGACAAGTACGCATGGAAGTAAACCCAAAATCTCAACTAACGATACCGTTCTGAGATCAGCGGCCACAGAAAATAATTCTGAAATTGCCATCATACTTACGCAAAGACAAGCCGGAGGTCTTATTTTTATAAATATCAAGAACAAAATCATCCAAAAGGGCACACAAGATACCAACTAAAAACAAAGAGAGAAAACCCAAAAAGTCGCGCGCAATTCCTTCTGAAACCTAGCCGCCTCCTACCCCTGTCCCTTCTTCTGACGCTCGCGGGTCCTCGTCCGGGTTTCCCCCAAGCTCAACTCTTTTTCTCGGCGGCCCCGCCCCGGTCCCGCCCCAGCCATGCCTCGGCCCCGCCCCATTCGCCGTCTATTGGCTTCTCTTACCCTCTGCGGGCGGTGACGAGCCGGGAAGCCGGGAAGCAGGGAGGGATCTATTATGCACGCCCAAGGCACGGGTCCTGGAGCAGAAGAAAAGCCGTGGAGCAGCGTAGGAGACTAGGAAGGGCGGCGTTCGGCGGGATCCTTTCCGGAAGCGGAAGCTCGGGGGGCGGGCCAAGAAAGTCCTGGAGCCCAAGGCGGTTAATTCTTTTTACCGTGAGGCTTCGCTTCCCTCGATCTGGGCTTTTCTGAGGCTGCGAGAGATGGTCAGGTCCGGGTCTCGACCCGGCCAGGTGAGGGCTGAGGACCTGAGGGGTCCACTGTGGGGACGGAGAGGGACAGGGGGGTTTTCGGGCCAGGGACTTGTAAAACTGCTCGAAAAGAGACAAAGACAATGCGGCGACATTAAAATGCTGGGACAGAGGTGCAGGAAACACCTAAGCTTCCCGTTAATACAGCCGCTTGGTCTCTAGATGTGTTTCTGTTTAAATCGTCGTAGCCCTCTAGACCGCCGGCTTTGGGATTAGACCCGGGTTCGAGTCCCAGTCTTTGCCGCCGGGTTACGTGACTTCTAGCTTTAGTCACCTGCAGATTGAGATTTTACTACTTTTTACTTCTCGGAACTTCCTATTCCTTCGCTCTAAAATGGGCAGAAATGAACATAAAATTCTGTCTTAAGGAATTGGGAAGGTTAAATGATAGTACCCGGTAAAAACATCGATCACACAGTTGGCGTAGACATGCAACAAAATTAAGTTCCCTTAACAACACGTAGTTTGCCATCATCTGAATGATAGCAGCAGTTAACATTTAGATAGCACTTATGTGGCAAATACTTCGCTAAGTGCTTTTATGCACTAGAATACACAATAACTTATTTAATAGTCACAATATCCTTTTGAGGTAGGTACTATTATCCCTGTTTCATACATGAGGAAATCAAGGGCTGGAGGGTTCAAATACTTCCCAACGGTTACACAGCTGTGGAATAAGATTCAGACGCACAAAGCTGGTGCCAGAGTCCATTCTTCTTTTAAACATTTTACCTAGTAGATGTATGACTTTGAACAAACCACTTTTCTGAAATTTAGGTTCCCACCTCATAGAAATCATGACAAGTTATAGGATATGGATTAAGCGGAAATGAAAGACCTTAGTACACTCTTAAGTCATTCTACAAAGGCAGTATTATCTTGTACTTGTCGGTAAGGAGATATGACTACTAAGAAATGCTTATATATTTCTCAAATAGCAGAATTAAAAGTTTAATGATAATAATCCAGTAGAAGTAAGTGTAAAATAAAGCAAACTGAGTCTCCTGTATTGTGATTAGGACACTCCTTTTGGAAAGCAGCTTTGCAGTTTGTGTCAAGGGTTATTAAATTGCCAATAACCTTTCACCAAATAATTTTCCTTTTAATCCTAAATATGAAAAGGCTATTTTCAATAGATAGAAAGGCCTATTCCAGTTTTTTTTTTTTTTAATTGTGAAAAATATGAAGCAGGCCGGGCGTGATTGCTCACTCCTGTAATCCCAGCACTGGGAGGCTGAGGTGGGTGGATCATGAGGTCAAGAGACTGACACCATCCTGGTCAACATGGTGAAATCCTGTCTCTACTAAAATACAAAATTAGCTGTGCGTGGTGGCAGATGCCTGCAGTCCCATCTACTCAGGAGGCTGAGGCAGGAGAATTGCTTGAAGCTGGAAGGCGGAGGTCACTGGGAGGTGGAGGTTGCAGTGAGCCGAGATTGCGCCACTGCACTCCAACCTGGTGCCTGGCAACAGAGCAAGACTCTGTCTAAAAAAAAAAAAAAAAAAAAAAAAGCAGCAGCAGCAGCAAACCAAGACCATATTACATTACTTCCACTGAAGGAAATATTATACAACCATTAAAAATTTTTGAAAATCAAAAAGATTTAAAAGTAGAAAACAAGATTCGAAATTGCAAATATCTTGTTATTATGACTAAGTAAAAAGTGCATATGAAAAGTGATTGGAAGCCCCAATAGCAAAGAACACATCTAGTATCTAGATCTTGGTTTCCAAGTACCACTGTCCCCTAAGGGGTCATGGCTTCTTGGAAAAATGACCAATTCCAGGGCTGAGCAGGGGAATTATAAGAAGAGCGTGGATACATCAAACTAAAAAGCTTCTGTACAGCGTAGGAAGTGAGTGATGGAGTGAAAAGGCAATCTACAGAATGGGAGAAAACATTTCCAAGCCATGTATCTGATAAATAGTATCTAAAATAAATATAAGGACTTACTATAACTGAAAAGCAGAACCATACATAACTTGTTTAAAAAATGAAAAAAAGGGGCCAGCCGTGGTGGCTCACGCCTGTAATCCCAGCACTTTGGGAGGCCGAGGCGGGTAAATCACGAGGTCAAGAGATCAAGACCATCTTGGTCAACATGGTGAAACCCCGTCTCTACTAAAAATACAAAAAATTAGCTGGGCATGGTGGCGCATGCCTGTAATCCCAGCTACTCAGGAGGCTGAGGGAGGAGAATTGCCTGAACCCAGGAGGCGGAGGTTGCGGTGAGCCGAGATCGCGCCATTGCACTCCAGCCTGGGTAACAAGAGCAAAACTCCGTCTCAAAAAAAAAAAAAAAGATTTGAATAGACATTTCTCCAGAGAAGATGGATGGATGGCCAACAGGTATATGAAAAGATGCTCAACATCATTAATCATCAAGGAAATGCAAATTAAACCCACAATGAGCTATTACCTAACACCTGTTAGGATGACTTACTAAAAAAATAAAAAGTATTGGCAAGGATTTGGAAGAATTGGAACCTTTGTACACTGTCAGTGGGAAGGTAAAATGGTATAGTCACTATGGAAAACAATATGGGGATTCCTCACAAAATTAAAAATAGAGCTATATTACCCAGCAATTCTACTTCTGGGAATTTATCCAAAAGAATTGAAATCAGGATACAGAAGAGATATTTGCACTCTCGTGTTCATTGCAGCACTATTACTATAGCCAAGATGTGGGAACAACCTTAATGTCTATCTACAGATGAAAAGATAAGGAAAATGTGGTATATACATAAAATGGACTATTACTGAACCTTTAAAAAGAAGGAAATAGCTCTCATATGCAACAACAGAGATGAACCTTGAAGACATTATGCTAAATGAAATAAGCTAGTCACAGAACAACAAATACTGCATGATTTTACTTACATAAAGTATCTAAAAAAGTTAAAACTCGTAGAAACAGAATAGAATAGTGGTTGCCAGGGGCCATGGGAAGGGAGAGAAGGCATTGCTATTCAGCGAGTATAAAGTTACATTTATGTGAGGTGAAGAAATTCTCGAGATTGCTGGATAATATCATGTCTATAGTTAATACTACATTTTGTTAGGAAGGTAGATCTCATTTTAAACACCCTGATAACAATTTTAAAAAGAGGAACCTAGAGCACCTTGTAGAAAGTAAGCAATAGCTCAAAAAGTGATGGGGACATGTTAAAGTGATACAGGAATCAAATTCAGGGGGCTCCCAACAACCAAATTTGAGACAATTTGAGCATCAAAATAAAGTGATAATAATGAATCATAACCTACTGAAAAAAGCAGGAATCAGTGAGTCCCCACTAACAAGGAAGAAGGAAAAGGTGCTTTCCTAAAGTTGAATGCCAACTAGTAAATGTAGAAGGATTACATAGAAAATCACTGTTTGTCAACCAATGGATTCAGCCAAGAATCATCAATGACTTAAAACTATGGGGTGAAAGTTTGGTGATTGGTATATCTAAGTATCTCTTCACAACATGCTAACAATTACTAAGATAAAAGTATAACCTTTACAATAAAAAACCTGGCAGACACCACCTTAGGTCATCAAAATTTACATCATGAATAATGGGACAAACTGATATGTGTCTATTTATTGAGAAGAACATAATCTCTCTTGTGAATTCCTGCCAAAAATGCATGACCTGTGTGTAATCATGGGTAAGCACCAGACAAATCTAAATGTGCAGGGGGACGTTGTATAAAATAATTGGCCTAGATTCTTTAAATATGTCAAGGTTATAACAGACAATGAATGACAGCTTGAGGAACTGTTATTGATTAAAGGAGGCTAAAGAGCTATGACAGTTTAATGCAATATGTGGTCCTGGATTGGGCATGAACCAGAGGGATTTTTTTTTTTTTTTAATGGACAGTATTGGGATAATCGACAACATGCAGATAAGATCTGAACATTAGATTGTAATTCTGTGTCAATGTTAATTTCCTGGTTTTGATAATTGTAGTGTGGTTATATTAGAGAATGGCCTTGTTTTTAGGAAATATTTAGGAGTAAAGGAGTATTATATCTCCAACTTTAATGGTTCAGGCAAAAAGTAATACTGTGTGTATATATATATATATATATATATATATAGAAACACAGAAAATGTCAAAGGTCATAGAATCTGAGTGAAGCATACATAGGACTTCTTTGTGCTATTATTTCATAGCAGAAACTACAAAAAAAAATTGAAAGGAATTGTTCCAATATGATAGTTACTGTTTTAGGGTGCTTTTATCATGGGTAATTTTCTTTACCAGATTTTGTATAAGATAGCCTTGTGTCTTTTCCTCATTTATTAAGTAGCTTGTTTGTCTTATTATTGAGCTGTGATGTATCTTTATGTATTCTGAATAAAGTCCTTCGTCAGATCTACATATTACAAATATTTTCTTCTTGCTTTTTAATTTTCATAGTGTTGTCTCACAAAGAGAAAAATGTTTTCATTTGATTAAATACAGTTTTTTAATTAAAAAAATAAGATAGCCTTGTGTATATTTTTTGGAGAAATGCCATATATATCTTACAGTTATGCCAGACATGTATCTCAGACAGTGTACTTTGAAAAAAAAACAAATTTGAAAGAATAATTTTGGTAGTTGTTTTTGGACTCTATCCAGGGTATAGTATTATAGTATCATGGCTTGGAGTTTTTATTATGCTTCCAGCCAGGACATCGACATAGATATACTAAAGGGAAAGACCCTGAGAGTGTGATGCAGTTACCAGTAGAGTGATGTTTCACAATGTCTTATTTCCTACATTGTTGATTCTCACTGCTGGCTTCATTTTTCCTCCGTCATATTCCAAATTATCTCTAGAAGTATAACTCTTACCAACCCAGTTTTTAAAAAAATGCATTCTGAGTTACGTTCTTAGAAGGATGGAACACACATTCATGCATATGATAGAATGCCACATAACTTTAGAAAGTTTGGTAGTTACTGCTCAAAGCTATTTTGAGATGAAATATGTAAATATATCAAGAGAAATTATAAATGAAACTGCCAACACTGACTATATCTGGAGGGTAGAATGAGTGGGGAGTCAGGGATTTCAACTCATGTCGATTTAAAATTATTTTGAATAGAGATTATCTGATATAAAGTTATTAAAATATAAAATAGTATGCCATGGAAAGTGTCCCTTCTTGCTCTGTCCCCTAGATACTCAGTTTCCCTCCCCAGAGGCAACCATGATGAACTGTTTCTGGCATAACTCTCAAGATACTGGGTGCATGTAAAAGCAAATGCCTATTTTTTCCTGTTTTTCTACAGAAAAGGTTGTCCATTATGTCACTTTTAACACCAAAAAAAATTTAAGAAAACAACAGTGCTATATGAGTTTCAAAAGAAAGATTAAGACAGTGAGATGTAGATAAAGAGAAAGGTTAGAGTTTTCATTTGCTGGTTTTATCAGGCATACTAAATAATGTACATAAAAGAAACCAGAGTTAAGAACTCTGTTCTGTATCTTGAATTAACTTGTTTGTTTCAAAGAACTTGGGAATATAGACCATGTTTAGGGATTAATATAGTCTGAACTTAGTGTAGTAGTTACCTCTGGTTTAAAATAGTGTATCAATTTCCTTTTCACCTTAAATAGACTTAAGTAACAAATATATGTGTTGTTTGCTTGACATTTTACATAAAATAAATTTAATATATGAATTAAATTATAATTGTGGATTTTTAGGATACATCACATTAATTAAAACAGTGAATAATATGGTACATACACATACAATGGAATATTATTTGGCCTCAAAAAGGAAGAAAAAATTTGACACTTGCTTCAGTATAGATGAAGCTGGAAGATATTATGCTAAGTGAAATAAGCCAGTCACAAAAGCACAAGTATTATATTATTCCAGTTAAATAAAGTTTCTGGAGTAGTCAAATTCATAGAAACTAGGATGGTAATTGCTAGGGAAGGGGAAGAGGGGATGGGAAGATATTGTTTGATGGGTACAGAGTTTTAGTGTGAGAAGAAGAATAAAAGAAAAAAATGTCATCTTACATTTTATCAAGATAGCATATTGAAAATATAATAGAAAAATATTTATCTGCTATAATATATTATGTCATAGGTGTTACCTTCAGGAAGGCACACTGGACCTGCTAAATTAACAAATGGAAAGAAAGAGTAAGTACTTAAAGACATTTACAACTTCAGATTTCAAGACATTTTTCAGGTCTTTGGGCTGGATGACATGTTGTCTACCCCAGAAAATTAGGTAGGCCTCTAGCATCACACGCTTTGGGGAACAACTTTTCATATCTACCTATGTTAATCATTCTAGTGTTTAACAGTCTTTCTAATCTTTAGAATGTGCTTAGAAATTCATCTTGTACCTGGTGGGTCAAGCTTTCTTGTCTAGTCTTTGCTAGAAAGAAAATGACTGATGTATTTTGGGAAAAAAATATAAGAATATTAATGAGCTTATTTTCCAGGACCCATTTAAGAAAAATATCATGTTTTAATGCAGATTCTGGCTCTTCCATCCATTCTGATTCAGAAAGTCAGGTAAGATTGAATAGATTCAATACACACTAATTAGTTTTCAGATAGAAGCTAAAAAGTAGGAATAAAATGCAAAGTATTAATTGGTCTAATGAAGTATGAAATCTGTTGCTTTAAAACATCTTTTCTACCAATAATAAATTGCTTGTAAATAAAGAAATTTAAAAGTACATAACGTATATTTTTTCCTATACACAGTTATATACAAATGTATTCTAAATGACTTTATTCCTTACAGGCTGAAACTGTACATGGGCTTGATGGTTGTGCTTCTTTGCTGAGGAACATTTTGAGAAATGAAGATTCAGGTTTATTTTTTTTAATGCTTCTTTGTTGAATACCTTTTCTCAGGTCATTATTTTGATATTAACACATTTTTGTTTTATTAATAGGTTTAGAAACAGCATATTTAGAAAACAGATCTAATTCTAGACCTTTAGACATCAGAAAATATGGATCTAAAAAGAAAAGACATAAAAAACGTACTGTTCCTTTTGTAGTCCGGAAAGAAACATGTAAGCCTTTTTTTCTTTTATTTAAAGATAATCCTTAATTGGGGGTATTTTGATCAATTATCAGGATTATGCAGTTCATTTTAATAATCAGTATTGGTTAGGTTTATGTGTGCTTATGCCTGTGTTTTTTTGTTCAGCTTCTAATTGCTGAGTAGTTATATGAAAAAAGACTGTCTGGGTTTTATAGGAGAAAAAGTTCAAATGCAGAATGACTTTTGGGAAGTATATATAGTTTCCCCTGCCACTTGTTTTCATAGGTAATCACAAATTGGCTGTATTTCAGGTATGTACTTATCGTTGTTTCTTTAAAATTATTATATTAACATAATAATTTAACATATAATACATGTTTTATATAATTATATATATTTATATATATATTAATATATAATATTAATATAATAATATAACATATATCCTAAGTTGGTCAAGCTGATCTCAAGTTACACACAGTTAAGATACATGGTGCATAAGAAGGTATAATTGGATCAATAAGGAAAGAGCCTCCTGCTCATTGATGGTGAACGTAGCCAAGGGTACTTTACACCCTGATGGCTAACTTTTCCTGGTTTAGAACAAGAAAGTTTTGATTTTGTTGTTCCTTGGAGGCCTAGAGAACAAGATAGCCTAAAATGAAGATGAAAAAGTCCACAATGAGAATTCAGATGGATGAGAATTAGACTAGCCACTTCTATGGTTCAGGTGGGCCACAAATGTCAGCACTGTAGTGCAAGCTTAGATTGAGCTTGGGCAAGGAATGAAGTTTAGAAAGTCATCTAAGGTGGTAACCCTGTATATTAAGAGGTCAGAATCCAGGCAAGGAGGCTGAGAAAGAGTAGAGCATTCATGGGACTGGAGGTTGATGCATCAGATAGTCCTGAGGTAGAGAACTAAAGCAGGAGAAACCTAACTCATCTTGGAGGTCAGTAACATTAGCCTTATATTTTCTTGACCTGCACTATTCAAGATGGTAGCCATGGCCACATGTGTCTGTCTATTCAGCACCTGAAATATGACTAGTACAACCAAGGAATTGAATTTTTAGTGTTATTTAATTTAAATTAATTTAAAATGAAATTCTAAAACTGAAAATTGATCCAGTTATTATAAAACTTTTAAGTACATTTGGAATAACTTGGGCATGTAAACCTACCTTTTCAAGTGTAAATTTTATTAAATCTAAATATAGACCAAGTATTTCTGATGATAATTTAGCATCTGGATTGTGCTTTGTATAAAATACATGCTAGATTTAGAAGATTAAATATAAAAAAATTCAGTTATTTATATTATACACTCAAATGTTAATATTTTTGATATATTGACTTAAATATGAAAAGTAATTTTACCTCTTCTTTTATGTGGTTACTGGAAATTTTAAGTTACGTATATGGTTTGTATTATATTCCTATTGGACAACATTGGTCTAAGTCAGCTCAGCACACTACAGCCAGTTTTATAAGTAATGTTTAGTTATTTTATTTTGTAAATAAGATTTTATTAGAATGCAGCCAAGCTAATTTATTGTGTTTTTATTAGCTGTTTTTGTACTGCAATGGCAGTGTTGAGTAGTTGTGACAGAGATCATCTGGCCTGCTAAGCCTAAAATATTTATTTGACCTCTTAAGAAAAAGAGTGCTAAACCCTGGTCTTAACTCTTCAAGTAGAGGCCTTTTTATTGGGGCCCAATTGAGAAAGAAAGGAGCGATAGCACCTGTTCCTCCAGTCTCCTACTTTTTGTCTGTAGGCAGGTTATTTCTTATCCAGGACACCTTTCCTCAAGGAACTATTATTTGAGTGGCTGAGAGTGGGTGTCATGGTAGCAACTTGTTGAATCCTGACTTAACTGCTTCTGTCAGTCAGAGTTCCAACAGGAAACAGATGGCAACACTCAAATTGAGGTAATTTGAGGAGGGTTTATTTTATTTACAAATGGACTCATTGTAAAGGTATGAGTAGAGTATAGGAAAACACAAGTTTTGCCTACTAGGTCTCGCTAGCCTAGTGCCAGCAGCAGCAGCAGAGCTGTTATCATCTCTAGGCCATAAGGGATTAGGAGAGTTACTAGACCTAGAAAGAGGTATTGCTTATAGAATATACTACCTTGAGAAGAGCAGTGAGCTTCATTGAGAGGACAAAGTCAGCCCAAGGTGGCCTCATAGAAAGGGAGCAGGGTAAGTGTATATCCTGACTTCATACTTCTTCCTTTTCTTCGTATGCCAAGACTCCCATTGGATTGAAGCCCTGCTGAGGTATATCAGGTCTGGGATTTGACACTTACAAGCTAGTATCACTGTATCATGGATGCTAGCAGAAGACACAAAACTACTGGTCAGAGACAAAGGACTTTTATTACTCACAGCATAGGAAGCAGTATGTGCATCAGCATATTTGTGTTGGTTCTCATTCACCCTAATTCCCTATGGAGTGATTCAGTGGCTCCAAAAGGATGCTGCACATGCTTTAGGTTTAGGTTGCAGCTGAGGAACACTAAGCTTGGGAAATCTGCAACTTTGATAGTAAGCAGTAATCAAGCCTGTGCTTGCCCCAGAGGGAAATATTACCTTATCCCTCAAGGTTGATCACTGCAAACACAACCCTGAGAAGTGGCCCAGGTAAAGAGCTTAGGTCAAAGTCTTGCTTTTTTGGTATATACAGCAAGACATATGAGGAGGAGGAGTGACCCATGAAGGACTGTCTCTTCGCAATCCATATAGATCAGCATTCCAGGGAGAGCATGGTGAAGACCAGTAGAGGTGGATTTGGATTGGCAGATGGAAGATTCTGGCATTCTGGGTCCGTAGTGTTAAATTCTTATTTGTATTACAGCCGAACTGGCAGTTCTGGCTTGTGATCAGGGTGCAGTATTCTTACTGTTCTTTCTCCCATATTTTCATAATCAGAAGGAAGGACCTACTTCCATAGGACAGTCTTCCTTAGGGTTGCAATATTAGAAATTATTAGTTCCTAATTTCTAAATGTTCCTAAGTGTAACTCATTAGAAACCTCTGACTGTTTGATTCAACTGCTCTATTGTATTTTTAATTTACCAAATTGTAGCACTTTCTAGAAACAAACGTGTGTGTGTGTGTGTGTGTGTGTGGTTGGCAGATGTTAACCAATAATACAAGATTTTGCTCCATTACTACAGTGCTTATAAAATCCATGCTCATCGCTTGTTCTCTTTACCATCTCTCCCCAAGTGAGGTAATCATAAAGAACTTTAAGGAATCTATTAGGGTATATTAATTAGTATCCGTGTATTATTTTACTTTTAACACCCATTATCTTGATATTTTGTGTTAACTGTCTACTGGGGAATGGCCCCCCCATGTATTTTTATCTGGGACTTGTCTGATCATTGGATGCCTATGGAGTCAGGTATGCACACCATGATGCATTCTGGAAGTAAGAAGGCAGAGAGGCCCTTCTAGAAATGTATTGAGCTTACTTGAGAGTGTTTTGGCAGTAAAAAAAAATTTTTTTTAATAAGCAACTTTTTTTTTTTTTTTGAGACGGGAGTTTCCCTCTTGTTACCCAGGCTGGAGTGCAATGGCGCGATCTCGGCTCACCGCAACCTCTGCCTCCTGGGTTCAGGCAATTCTCCTGCCTCAGCCTCCTGAGTAGCTGGGATTACAGGCATGTGCCACCATGCCCAGCTAATTTTTTATATTTTAGTAGAGACGGGGTTTCACTTTGTTGACCAGGATAGTCTCGATCTCTTGATCTCGTGATCCACCCGCCTTGGCCTCCCAAAGTGCTGGGATTACAGGCTTGAGCCACCGCGCCCAGCCTAATAAGCAACTTTTATATGTGATAACTGTGTTGAATGCTTTCATGATTTTGCTTTTAGTAACATATATATATATATTGCCATCTTCATCTTGGGGAACTAAATAAACCACAGGCAGAATCCTTTGAGCATTGATTGCCCCTCATAAAGCCAGTTAAGTAGGCATCCAGTGGCTCTTACCTGCTCTATATGTTTATTCTGTATTCGAGTGATGTGTATCACTTCCTGTCAGATGGTGCTTGTCCATCCAAGCAATAGCCAGTGCTTGAACAGCAGCTGGACTTTAGGGACTGAAACAGTTTTGTGGACTGAGTTAATGAATACATTCCTTTCATGAATTCTAGTTATCACCTGACATCACTTAAACATATTGATAGACCAATAGCTAAAATTTTCATGTAGAGTGCGTTGGTGTAATTAACAAGAGCAAGAAAATATACTTCATTTGTATTTATGTAGTAACAGGCCCATTTGGTCATTGTTTTATTTTAAAATTGTGTAGTAGTAATATAACTGCAGTCTTTGCCTTATATCCATTTATGGTTTTTAACTTGTCTTGGATTGTTTGCTTTAAAACTTTACATCATTAAGTTACTCAACATTATCCGTAGAGTTTTGTATGGACTCCGTTGATAAAGGAGTGACATATGTCATTTTAGCTCTAAGGCTTTGATGTTCAAGAAATAGTTTTGGAGTTTATTAATTTATGTTGGACGATGACATCTGCTGGCTGAGGCATAATGTATCTCAGCTTTATTAAAGACTGAAAACCACGCCTTGAAAAGAAAGTAAATGAGATCCTGATGCTATGACCTGTTGTGAAAACAGATATCTTCAAACTAGCCAATTCTTTCTCTCTCCTCTTTCTTTTTTTTTTGGTGAGACAGAGTTTCGCTGTTGTCTCCCAGGCTGGAGTGCAGTGGCACTACCTTAGCTCACTGTAACCTCTGCCTCCTGGGTTTGAGTGATTCTCCTGGCTCAGCCTCCCTAGTAGCTGGGATTACAGGCACCTGCCACCATGCCTGGCTAATTTTTTGTAGTTTTAGTAGAGATGGGATTTCACCATGTTGGCCAGTCTGGTCTTGAACTCCTGACCTCAGGTGATCCATCCACCTCAGCCTCCCAAAGTTCTGGGATTACAGGTATGAGCCACCATGCCTGGCCCAAACTAGCCAATTCTCAAGGACCAGAGGAAATCCAAGAGCAGAAGGAAAGACCCAGGAATCAAGAGGAAAGGACTAGTGGTGTGCTCAATGGCCATGGGCTATGATCTCGCCTTCTGTTATTTTAGATTTCAAAGTTAAAATATTTTAGAAGGTACTTTTCCATTTATTATAAAATTATATTTCCAGTAAAAAGTAGTATTCACTTTACAGAAGTTTATTAACCAGTTTTGTTTGAGCTGATCTGTTCAAATAGTGAAGGTAACTCTTACTGCTTTTGAGTTTAATCATCTCAGAAGGGACATGTTTAGAGGTTTGTTACTGACATCAGATAGCATGATTTATGAATATATTTACTTGTTTATTGTGAGAGTACAGCTAGTTGTACTAGCTGTATGTTAATAAATGTTAATGTTAATAAATGATATTTAACATTTATTGAGTTTTTACTGTGTGCTAGACATCGATTTAAGAACTTTACAAGTGTTATCTCATTTACATCTCACAATAATCTTATAGGCATTACAGTTTTTCTGATGAGGAAGAGGAGGTCAAGAGAAGTTAATTTGCCCAAGGTTACTCAGCTAATAAGTGTTAAACCTTGCATATAAGTCTAGAAAGTACATTCATAGGAATAGATCATCTCAAAAGGAAACATACCCCAAATCAAAAGGGAAACATCTGATATCATCAGCCATTTTCATAGTCAAATACTGTCTTTTTCTTTAAATTTTTTTTTCTATTTTCACTGGTTATAGTATTTAATCTGCCTTTAAATTTTCTATTTTTGCTTTTACATGGAAGTTGTATGCTTTTAGCAATGTTTTTATTTTCAATAAACTATACATATATATTTGAGGGATTTTCTACTTTTAAATTTTTAATTATTTTATTTTTTTAAAAATTAAGAAATACTTTTCATAAGTAATTTTAAAGTATATAAATCTCAATAAATTTTTGCATATGTATACATCCCTATAGCCACCACCTAGATTAAGATACAGAAAATTGTTAGCACCCTACAAGGCTCCCTCCCTGTCAGTACCCTTACCATCACTTAGACCCTCAGCCTGTGTAACCACTTTCCTGACTTCTGTTTCCATTTGTGACTTTTACCTGTTTGAGGACTTCCTATAAATGCAATTGAACCCTGTGCACTCTTGTTTTGAATACTTTCACTCAGACTTTTGTCTGTTAAACATCCAGGTAGTTGTATATATCAGTACTTTGTTCTTTTTTTAATGCTCTGTAGTATTCCAGGCTGTGCATATACCAGTTTATTCTTGTCTACTATTCATGGCTATTTGGTGTTTTCAGCTTTTCACTACCGCAAATCAGGCTGCTGGGAACATTGTTGTACATGTCTTTTAGTAGCTATAAGCACTCATTTCTGTTAGGTGTATACCTGGGAGTGAAATTGTTATGTCATAGAATATATGTATGTTTAGCTTTGGTAGGTGCTACCAATAGCAGTAAATTTTCCAAATTTATTTTGTATACTGATAACCTGTGATTTACTAGAATATTCTCATTTCTGTTAATAGTGTTTTAAAAAACATTTGGGAAGGGGATCTAATTAGGGACATAGAACTTAGATTGTTCTACCAATCTACAGGTAGTGCTATGTAGAAAACTTTGTGGTTTTTTACTTATTACTTTGTTAATACCAGATTTCTACCCTGTACATAGACTAATACTGGACTCTGTAGGATAAAATAATGAAATACAGCCCTGCTTAAAGAAACTTACAGTTTAGTCAGAAAGACAGCAGGATGAAAGATAAGCAATATAAGGCAATGTGTCAGTGGCATATGATTCATACAAGCAATATGTGCTGTGGGGTGGGGAAGAGTAGTCACTAGACTGGCATGATTGGATTGGGAAAGGCTTCATGGAAAAAGGAAACTGTCAGATGAGCCTTGGTGAGTGGATAGAATTGGATTGGAAGGAATGTTCATCATGAACAATGTTATTGACAGGTAAGAAGAGCTTGCTGGGTAACAAAATCGGCCTGGCTGAAATGAACATTTTGAGCTGGGGGTGATGGGACAATAGTTGGAAAAGTAGGTTGTGGTCAAGCTTTGGAAAACTTTAAATGCCAGGTTAAGATTTTGTTTGGTTGGTTGGTTTTGTTTTGTTTTTTTGAGGGCCCAAAGCATCAGAATTGTACAAACTATTTTCTTTCCTATTCTGTTTTCCCTTGAGAACATGAACTGACAAGGAACAAGGTGAAGGAGTTTGATTGGACTTTAGGGATAATATAACACCCTTGAAAGAAGTGTTAAAATTGAAGGAGGGATTTTACAAATGGCAAGTAGCATAAAAAATGGGAAGTCTAAAGAATTAGTATAGACGATTTTTGACTGGGGAAACTTAAATACTAATTACTGTCAGAAAGACACCTCAAGGTGATTTTCTTTAGTGAGGGTGATAGTATGTGATGAATACTGTGAAGTATGTGATGAATTATGTGATGAATTAAACTGCTTCTGAGCACCTTTTCTTCTCTTAAAATCTTACGGTAAGCGTTTTTGAAGGATCATGTTTCAAGAACTTTTTTTTTCTTCCACATTAGCATCTTCAGATAAGAAACAGATACCTAATGAAGCTCCTGCTAGAAGTGAAAGAGACACATCAGACCTAGAACAAAATTGGTCATTGCGGGATCATTATAGAATGTATTCACCTGTAATATACCAAGCCCTCTGTGAGCATGTGCAGACTCAGATGTCACTGATGAATGACTTGACTTCAAAGAACATCCCTAATGGAATTCCTGCTGTACCATGCCATGCTATGTCTCCTTCTGGTTAGTATGAATACAGTTTAAAAGTCATGAATGTAAGTGCTAATTAAATTGCTTGGTTGTTGTATAAAAAGTAGGATATGTGATTAATTTTTTCTCCCTCTTACTTATAGAATCTCAGGCAACTCCTCATTCTAGTTATGGCTTATGTACCTCCACTCCAGTCTGGTCACCTCAGCGGCCACCCTGCCCTCCAAAGGTTCATTCTGTGCGTACAGTTTGTATACTACATAAGTAACTATTTGCTTATATCAGTCATTTAGGAAGGACTGTTGAATTTATTGATTGTAACTTAATGCACTAGGATTTAAAAACCAGTTGTTTATTTTTTACTATTTTATAGTTTTACCTATTTATTAATGACAGTAATGAAGGAGAAAGAGGGGAAGAGATCAGTAGGGGAAAAAGCAAAATCAACCATACTGGCCACCCAAGTACAACTGCTGTTAACACACTGATAGAGTTCTTACCAGTTGTTTAATCCTCTGTACAGGTTTTAGTTTCTGGTTTGTATTTGTTAAGTTTGGTTTCCTTTTAAAATAGTTATAAGTAAACTTTATGCAGTTTTCTATACCGATTCTTTCGCTTAATACTTTATTTAAAAGATGTTTATTTATATATACCCTTTGTGAATTTTTAATAGCTTGTTACTATTGTATTTTGTGGATATATCATAGTCTGTGTAACTACTACGTGGTTAGGAGTGTAATCATATATTTCAGTTTGTTATAATTAATATTATTATTATTAATAAGCAAGTTTCTAATATTAGAAACTTACTAATATTTTTAGCTTAAAAGTAAGTTGGATTTTTCCTCAGTACAATAAAGATTCTTGGTTTTTGAAGCTTAGTTTACCCTGTAATATGGGAGCATTACAAGGCCATGACTAAAATAGACTGTTTACAAATACCACAGATGGTTTAAAAGCATCAAAAATTAGTCCACTTTGGGAAATTACATCATAAGAAAATAAGTTCAAACATACAAAAAGCTTTTGCACAAGCATATTTACAGAAATATTTCAGTGGTGAAAAACTGGCTGTTACTTAAATGTGTAACCATATAGGAGTATGGTTGTACAGACTATGGTATACCCACAAAATATAGTAGTAACTATTTATTAAATATTGACAAAGTGAATATATTAATGTTTTAATAAATATATTTTATATATTTGAGTTTGTTATAATTAATACCTATAAGTGACTGCTCATACTTCTGAAGAATTGCTTTTCTTTTTCTTTAGGAAGTTGAAACTGTTGGTGACAGTCAGTTTGCATCACAAAGTAAAACAGTTTCTGCGACCTGTACTGATGTTCTACGGAATTCATTTAACACCAGTCCTGGAGTTCCATGTAGCCTGCCCAAAACTGACATATCAGCTATTCCAACATTGTGGCAACTGTGCCTTGTTAATGGGATTCCGCCACAACAAGGAGTACATAAGGAAATAGACCTACTCAAATGTTTTCAAACGTATATTTCTCTTTTTCAATCTCATGGAAAAGAAGCACATCTGGACGGTCAGACACACCGAAGCCCTACTCGATCACAACCAGCTTTCTTGGCCACTAATGAAGAAAACTGTGCCAGAGAGCAAATTAGAGAGGTCACAAGTGAAAGAAAGGATTTAAACCTACATGTGCGAGATACAAAAACAGTCAAGGATGTACAGAAGGCAAAAAATGTGAACGAGATAGCTGAAAAAGTTAGAATTATAAAATATTTGTTAGGAGAGCTTAAGGCCCTGGTAGCAGAAAAAGGTAGATGAGACTTATACTTTTCTGTAGTATGGTGTTATACTGAATACCAGTGTCACATTATTTAGCTATTATTTAAATGGAGTTTATGGTATTTTCCATAGAACTGTGTTTTGAACTAATAAGAAAATCAGTTCTGCTTATGGTATTCTTATTTTTTAGGTTTTGATTTTTTTACCTGTGGATTTAAAATATTAGAGAATATCAAACATTCAGTCTTTTACTTGCAAGTGTATATTTATTCTAATTGATAATAGAGCTTGAAAAGATTCCACCAAAGAGAATTTGTGCAGATAAAAATTTTAATTAGATTAGAGAACCTCTGAAGATGATTAACTGTGTGAGTAGACTGATTATTTTTCCTGTTTTAAAAAGATGCAAAGAATGCCTGCCTATCATTTTTTTAATAGCCAGCTGTTAGGTTGTTTGACAAATCTCACTTTGAGGAGTAACCCAAACCTTCTTATGCCCTTTTCAGTTTATTTTTAGAACTTTTTTTCCTGAATCAAGAAAAATATCTTTGAGCCAGATTATATTCATTTGTTTTTATTCTGTATATGTATTCTATTGTGGCTTTTGCTTGGAATGATTTATAGATTTGTCATCTTGGAAAACACAGTAATTGATTGTGGAAGCATTGATTGAATACCTAACATTTTCAGACTGACCAAAAAAAGAAAAATCTTAAAATGCTATATGAATGTAGCACCATTAAACCAAAGACATAGTGTATAAAAATTGCTGTGTTTTCAGACCTTCAACTTACTACCATTTTCACAATCAGATACATAATCATGGTGATGATAATAATAATACCATGGCTATCATTTATTGAACACTTACCATGTGCTCAGCACTGTGCTAAGTGTTTCATATGCATTATCTCATTTAATCCTCCCAGCAACCCTATGTGGTACTATTGCCACTACCATTTTACTGATGAGGAAACAGACCTGGAGAAACAGTATCTGATTTAATCCTCTCAACAACCCTGTGAAGTACTGTTTTTATCTCCATTTAACCATGATGAAACCCAGGTTTCAAGAGTTAAGTATTGAGATGTTGGCCAAAGGATGTAAACTTTCAAGTATATATGGGAGGAATAAGTTAAAGAGATCTACTATATAACATTATAACTATAGTTAGTAACAATATTGTATTCTTAAAAATTGCTGAGAGTAGATTATAAGTGTTTTTATTATAAAAATGATAAATATGTGAGGTAATACATGTGTTAATTAGCTCCATTTAACCATCCCAATGTGTATATATTTCAAAACAACATACTGTAGGTAATGAATATATAAATTTTTTTCTTTTTCAATTTAAATAGATAAATTTTTACAAAAAGATTAATTTGTTTTTAAAAAATAAGTTAAATACTTTAACCAAGGTTATATCTCCAGAAAGTGGTGGAGTCCAGGTCCCAAACTCCAAAGCCTGTGGGTGAAACTGCTCTACAAAAGATTGGTTGAAGGCCGAGCGCAGTGGCTCATGCCTGTAATCCCAGAATTTTGAGAGACCAAGCCTGGCCAACATGATGAAACTCCAACTCTACAAAAAAGCAAAAGTTAGCCGGGCATGATGGCAGGTGCCTGTAGTCCGAGCTACTTGGGAGGCTGAGGCAGGAGAATCACTTGAACCCAGGAGGCAGAGGTTGCAGTGAGCCAAGATCACCCCGCTGCACAGCCTGGGTGACAGAGTGAGACTCTGTCTCAAAAAAAAAAAAAAAAAAAAAAAAAAAATTGGTAGAAGAAAACTGCTTGATAATTGGACATAGTTGTTTACTATGTGTATGTCCTTTCCATCAGGATGTTAGAATATCTGTGAAACTGAATGCATTTTTGTAACTTAGAAAATACTTTCAACCTCTTTTGGATATCAGATAATTAATAAATAATTTTAAATATTTTCAGCTCATGGTAAATATGAATGGGAATGAAGGGAAAAAGATAAAAGGCAGAAGAACGAATACCTACCTTCTATGTCTGTGTCTGTTTGCAACCTCCAAAAACATCCACTCTCCACAATTAGTAACAACCTTTTGATATCACATCAAATGAGATGTGGCTGCTTGTGTTCAATCTACTTTAGAAAATTAAATAATGAAACTGTCCTAGTAGACCCTCAGTCAATATTTTGCCAAGTTAATCCCCTAACATAAATTGTTTGCTTATGCCAGGATCAAAGGTTGTATTATAAATGTTAATGCTAAAACAAATTATAGGAAACCCTATAGCAATCAGGTATCCATTGTGGTCCTTGGTAAGTATGGACTAAGAGATTTGTGTGAGCCACATTCTTACTTGATTCTTGAACTGAAAAAAACAAAAATAAAAAACTTATAATCTTGTGATTTAAGATTAATCTTTAGTTTACTGAACATGATTTCTTTTTTTTTTGAGATGGAGTTTCGCTCTTGTTACCCAGGCTGGAGTGCAATGGCACAATCTCAGCTCACCGCAACCTCCGCCTCCTGGGTTCAGGCAATTCTCCTGCCTGAGCTTCCTGAGTAGCTGGGATTACAGGCACGCGCCACCATGCCCAGCTAATTTTTTGTATGTTTAGTAGAGACGGGGTTTCACCATGTTGACCAGGGTGGTCTCGATCTCTTGACCTTGTGATCCACCCGCCTTGGCCTCCCAAAGTGCTGGGATTACAGGCGTGAACCACCGTGCTCAGCTACTGAACTTGATTTCTTTAGAATTTTTCTGAGGAAGGAAATACCACCAGGATGAAAGAGAAAAATGGAGCCTGTATAATACATTTATAAATAATTGAGTTAAATTTATAACAAGTATGTACATATCTATAAAGATTTTCTTTTTTAGTAATACATACTGATAATCTTGTAGAAAAATATAGTATTGATTTCACTGATTTCTTTTGCCTTTTATAGAGGATTCAGAAATTCAGAGGTTGGTTACAGAAATGGAGGCTTGTATATCTATACTTCCAGCAGTAAGCGGAAACACAGATAATCAAATTGAGATAGCACTGGCCATGCAACCATTAAGAAGTGAGAATGCTCAGTTACGAAGGTAAGAATTGCCCTTTGAATATTTTTGTCTGTGTGCAAACATGCCTCCTGGCCAGAACAAAGGTGCCAAATGACATATCTAGGATTTTGTAAGGAAAATTGATTTTCTGTCTCACTGAATTTCTACTTTTTCTTCCTCATTTTTCAGAGATTTCCAGCATTCTCTAACTCTTCCTTTACTTCTGCCCACTTGTACATATTTTCTCCCACTTTTGCCTGTGTTGTCACTTGGTAGTGTGTAGGCAGGAAAATGAAGTACCTCTGTATATTTATCAGACTAGTCTAAGTTATGCTGCAGGAACAAACTTCTAAATTTCATTTGCATAGCACAGCAAGTTTATTTCTCCCTCATGCCAAGACTAACATGGGTCATTGGTGGCTCTTTCATCCTATGACTCAGGCTCTAGACTCCCTCCATTTTATGAAGCCACCGTCTCATAAAGCCACCGTTGTCCGGGAAAAAAGAGAATTTGGATTTGGTAATGGGGAAGTCTCACATGCCCCAACCCAGAAGTGACCATTTCGCTACCACTTATATTTTATAGGCTGAAACAAGGCACCTGGCCCTGCCTAATAGAAAGGTCTGGGACACTGTATTAAAAACAGACTGTTTTTCTTCTGCTCTCACACCACAACAATCGACACAGAACACTTCTATGACCAAATGTGTGGGAATTTCTCCCCACCAACAAACAAGCAATCAGTTCTGCAGCAGATACCAGTTGGCTGTCCAACTACCAGTTCAATTCCAACACTATTTACCTGGAAATGATATCAGATCCCACAGGTTGAAGGCTCAGTCCCACAAGACTAAGCTCTATTTCCAACGCCGATCACAAGCCCCGGGTTATTTTACCTGTTTGTCTGACCAAATGGCTATAAGTCGAAGTTCCCTTGATCTCCTTCCTTGGGTTCAGTTAATTTGCTAGAGCAGCTCACAGAACTCACGGAAACACTTAGTTTACCACTTTATTATAAAGGATACAGATGAAGAGATACAAAGGGCAAGGTATTGGAGAAAGAGTGTGGAGCTTCTATGACCCCTGTGGGTGCACCACCCTCTAGGAAAGCTCCACGTGTTTATCTGGAAGCTCTGCATATCCTGTTCTCTGGCCTTTTATGGAAGCTTCATTGGATAGGCATGGTTGAATCATGGACAACTGTGAAGAAATGTGATTGGACAAAAAGGGTATGATCTAATACTAATAGACAGAGTGGGGAAACCCAAGAAGTTCTGTCTGTTCAAATTCTTTTTGGACTCTGTGCAGCATTCCTTCCTCCTCAGTATGAGGCAGGACCCCTTCAGAAATGGGTTTTTGACCTATAAACAGACAAGGTAGGTCAGAGAATTTCCTTATGGCCAGTTGTAAGAAAGGTGGGAGAAGAGTATATTTTTAGTTCCTATGGCCTACCATGGGAAATAAAAAGGACCAGGTTAAAGGATGGCAAGAGAAGGTTAGAGAAAGAAATTCTGTTTTCTGAGACCTGCTTCTAAGACCTAAAGTATCTGAATATTAACAGATGACTGTCTTTCACCTTTATCACTCTGAAGCTGCTTCAGGAACCAGGAACAAAAGGCCAAATACTTAAATAAAAGGGATGTTTTTGGTTTTGACTGCTTAAGAAATAACAAGGGCTGTGGGAGTTGACACCCAGGAACTGTGAATGAAAACACATATATATGTATGTGTGTGTGTATATATGTTTGTATATATATGCTGTAACAGACATACACTATACACATTTATATACAATATGTATATATATAAATATATAAAATAATGTCACAGATAATAATTTTTCCATACTTCTATATACCCAGGAAGGAAAGGAGAACCTTAGTAAGCACTCATGTAGCCCTATCACACTTAGACATAGAAAAAAATTTATTTAAATTTTTTGATTTTTTTTTTTCTGTCATCTTAACTTGTTGGAATTACATTCTTAATTTGTTTAGGAAAGATTTAGACCAGGAATCTAATCTTGAAATATAAAAGAAATCACCCACATATTATCAATAATATCTTAACTTGGGATGTTTCGGTGATGACCATCAAGGCAAACACTCCAGTGTCTGTTTATTAATATACTTTGCAAAAACTTGGAGTACATATCAGGTGCTTCTGCAGCACTGCAGTGCGAATATGCCCTGAGTGTTATAGTTGCATAAGCTATAGACATTGTATAAGGTAGGACCTGCAAGGATCTATACAAACTTTTAAAGAAACTGGAAAGCAATTAAATAGTTGGAGCATAGCTAGAATATACACACCTGGAGCCTCTAGAGGCATGATAGCTGGTGAGATGCACTTGTTGAGGATTCTTTGTCTAGAGATCCTTATCCAGTAGCTACTATGATATAAGATGGGATTGCTGGGTTTAAAATCCAATATCATCTTCAGTCTTGACCTAAGGAATTACTGTACCAGCATTAATTTTTTAAGACCAAAAATGAGTAAATAATAAAATAATGAACAGCAAATACTGCTAACATTTATTGAATGTTTTTTATATGCCAGACTATTACCCTTTATATGTGTCATTTCTTTATATCTTCACAGCAGCTCCATGAGGTAGGTGCTATGTTACTCTTATTTATAGATGAGGAAATCAAGGCATACAGAGTTTATGTAACTTGCCTAAGTCATATATCTAAGAAGTTACAGTCAAGACTTGAACCCAGTCAATTTGATTTGAGTACAATGATCTTAACTTGCAGACTTCTATAATGTCTCTGTTAGGAAGTAGAGATTTAATTATACCTCACTATTTAGGTGTATTTTGTGGAACATAGAATATATTGTAAGCCATTCAAAATAAACAAGCATATTATTTAAAGGAATGACAATCAAATAATTGGTTTCTTTAATAAGCATACCAAAACTTAGTCAGACAATATTATCTATTTTAACATTGTCACCATGGAAAATATGAGTGGTTCTTATTTATTTCTGTTCCTTAGAACATTTTTAAATTGCCTTAGGAGCTAATTTGTAAGCCATTCAAGAAAATAAGATTTACTGTTTTATAAGCCACCACTTGTTTCTAGTTTTTTTTAAAGAAGGTATTGTTTGATGTCTGACCTAATTCTTCAGTTGGCACTGGAGCTGTTTGGCTGTCTGTCCTTACAGGACAAAGATTATATAGCATGCTATTGCCACTGTTGTTTACTTGACCTTCTAAAAGATGAAATAACTAAAAAATGAAGAATTTGTTATGTATAGATTTGTTCTTTTTAGCAGAAAGAGGTTTCTGGGAGTACTGTAGGAATTTTTGTGCCACTTTGGTAATCTGTTTGGAAAGAATTATCCATAATCTTCATTACAAACAAAAATTGAAATACATAGGTTTATTCTAAAGTGTTTCTCATTGTTTTCAATTAAAATTTTTTTTTTCTGTTTAGGTATTTGGAAACTACGTGTTTCTTTTTAGCCAGAAAAGTGATCTTTCAGGACTTTCTTGGAGTTTGTTGCCATCTTGTGGCTTAAAAAAATAGCTCAATGCATCGTTTCTATGACATTTTGGCATTTAGGCTAGACAGTTTTTAATGTATCTTCTGAAACAGTTAGTCAACATTTAGCTTTCCTGGCCTCTACCCACTAAATGTCTGTAGTGCCTCATTAATTTTGACCACCAGAAGACCTGGCACATTCCCAAATTTTCTGGATGGGAGTTTGGTGGGTATTACCTCCAGTTAAGAGCCATTGAGCTAGAGAGTGCCAAGATTTCATGACCACCTCCTAATTTTAGGCTCAACTATGAGACCATTATGTATCCACGCAGAACATAAAAATGAAACGGGAGAATGGAAGGAGTCAAGGATGATGTTCAGGTTCTTTGTATAATTTAACAAATGGTAACATAATTCTTCTAGATGGGAGCTGCTAGAGGAAGAATAGATTTGTTTATTGTACATTGTTAATAGTTTTTGAGTTAGACAAGATAATAGGAGAACCTGTGAGTTAAGGTTTAGACCTGCTGAGTTAGATTATCTGGAGATAAGTATGATGTAAGTCTGGTGTACAGGAACAAGTTGCAAGATAGAAATTAGACTCGGGAGTCATTCTCTGAACACGTGTTTATTGAGCTTTTTGTATAGATCTGGCACTGTTGTAGACACTGGAGACAGTGTGATTGAAAGTAAGTGATTTGTTATCAGCACATAAGTAAGTGGTATATTCACCAAGAAGGTAGAGCATTGTGAACACAGTGAAAGGTAAATTGCTGGGGAGTAACAACTTTTTAAGGAGAGAACAGAAGATTAAAATTAGTGGAGTGACATCACAAAAGTCACAGGAAGAAAACAATTTATAGGAGAGATTTTGCATAGCATTAAAATAAACTGACAACATGAACAAAGGTAGGTTGAGAATAAATATTACAAGACAAATTACTCAAAGAAGCTTCAGAAAAACTTAAAACAGTGTTCTATAGTCTCAAGGAAATTAAAGATAATAGGATCTCGTATAGGAAGAAAGAGTGAGATTGAGACAAAGTGCTCAAAGAAGAAAAAGTAAAAAGAGAAGAAAAGTGAGTTAAGTGAACTCAGAAAAATAAAAGAAAAAACATTTTAAAAATGAAAGCCCCATTAGAAACAAATATAAAATAATTAATAAACAAACAGACAAGGTCAAGGATATTGTAGTCCTCTAGAACTTAAGTATTATGAAGCCCGAAGTTTTTTGTTTTTTTTGTTTTTCTGGGTTTTAGTTTTTTTCCTCCCAAGTCTTTCCATTTTAATTTCTACTAAATTCATGGTTCAGTGTCTCCTACTGGCCTTAGCTGCTGCTTCTTCCTAAACTGTTTTTTAGATTTTTATTTATTTTTATTATGGTAAACATATATATGTATGTTTATCATATATGATAAATATATGGTATTTATCTTTTTAACCATTTGCAAGTGTACATTTCAGTGGCAATAATGTTCTGTAACCTTCACCACTTTCTGTAGGAAAACTTTTCTCATCTCTAACATGAATTCTGTTCCCATTAAACAGTA